TCTCTCTCTCTCTCTCTCTCTCTCTCTGTCTCTGCCTCCCATTTGCCATGAGGTGAGCAGCTTTCCACCGCCATATCCTTCCACCATGATGTTTCTGCCTCAGAGCCAACGGACCATGGACTGAACCCTCTGAAACCATGAACCAACCTGTCTTAAAATTTTGAATTGTGGGTGTCAGGGATTTTGTCCCAGCAAGGGAAAACTAATACAAATAGATCCCTTTGCAGGCTTTCAGAAGTACTGAGGGGAACTCAGAGAGGGCAAAGTTGGGGGAAGGGTCCCAAGACACCTCTCCTACATATATGAGTTTGTATGAGTGTGTGTGGGTGTGGGTAAGGCTCACCTTTGGTTTGTCCGGCTCTCGGGAGTAGGCTGTGTACAGCTCTCTGAAGACCCCCTTGTTCTTGGCCTGCAGGGTCTCCTCCCTGTAGATGTGATCTATCTTCGATTGCCGGCACCCGAACACCAGGACCATCGGGCAGGGATTTATTCCTGGGGACCAGAAGGACATGTGTCACAGAGGGCTCTGGTGCCCATGCAGGAGTGAATGAAGGTGCCAGGGTGGAGAGCTGGGACTTTGAGGTGTGCCATGTAGACTGAGGCTGAGAAGCACTGGGGTAGGCAGGTGTATGGGCACACGCACACACACACGCACACACACGCGCACGCGCCCGCGCACACACACACACACACTGTAGAAGGTGGTTGGTATGCTCAGGCTTTGACAGACTTTCCTTCCCCAGGTTTCCATCCTTTCCGCTGCCCCCCATGCTGCTTAGCAGCCCCCCAGCACCGGGCAGTGCTGAGCCCAGACTTGAGTCAGACCACTTGGGTTCCAATTATAGCTCTGACAGTGCACACAACTTAATCTTCTATGCCTCAGTTTCTCCAAGTCCAAAATGGAAATACAATTGTCCCTTATATTTGCAGCAGAGGAGTACCGGGACCCCTTCTTGGATATGAAAATCTGCAGATGCTCAAGTCCCGTCTATAAAATGCCACAATATTTGCATAGAACCCATGCACATCCTCCTGGATACTTTAAATCATCTCTAGATAATTATAGCAACCAACACAATGTAAATAGTTGTTATGCTGGATTGTTTAGGGGATAATGACAAGCAAAAAGTCTGAGCCAGGCATGTGGTCCTAGCTACTGGGGAGGCCAAGGCAGGAGGAAGCAAATTCAAGGCCAGCCTGGGAAACTTAGTGAAACCTTGTTTCAAAATAAAAATGTATATACAAAAAGGATCTGGGGATGTAGCTCAGTAGTACAGTGCTTGCCTAGCATGCATGAAGCCCCGTGTTCAACTGCCAGAACCAGACTCACATAAAAGTTGGGACACTTCATTATAGACATAATTTTTTCTTCTAGTATATTTAATCTTCACTTTGAAATGCATGGATCCAGAGGGCAGACTGTAGTAACAGCACTTACCTCATGGGGCTATTGTGAGAAGTGTGAAATGTGAAAACTGGGCCTGGCATCTAGTGAGCACTTTTCAAATATCAGCTGTTCTGCTGGAACTAGTTTCAGGGTTTGTTTGGAAGGGCTGTTTGAACGACACCATGAACTTCACCCAAGGGTCAGGTCGGGACTGCATTCATCCCTCCAAGGTGGGGAAGAAACAGAGACACCGCTCCTACCCACCTTTGTGCTGGATGTCGAATTGCCGTTGCTGCCAGAAGCTCCGGAAGGGCGCGATGCCGGTGCCCGGGCCAATCAGGATGCAAGGGACCTGGGGGTTTTGGGGTAGGTGGAAGCTGGGTGCGCTGGACAAGGAAGAAAGAGTCAGAAGTCTTGCTGAGCCCAGATCTTATCCCAAACAGCAGAACCCAAGGCAGACCAGGCAGTGATGCATAAGCCTGAGCTCAGGACTCTTTCTGGAAGCCCCAGGAAGCTCTGATGCCGATGGTATGTGGACCATACTGTGAATATTCTACTCTCAATGGCTGAGAAAAAACGGTGAGCCAAGGTGACAGCTCAGGTACAGATGCTTTTGATCGGCAAAGCCGGTGCCGATCACAGGTCTATACTTGGGTCTGCCTATTAATATTGAGTGGGGAAGGGAAAGTTCCAATGGATAGGGGCAGTTGAATGGAAGTGGGGGCAGATTGGGGGTGACCAGTAGAAGGTGGGTAGAATTCCTGCCAGTCTGCAAATCCCACAAAGGTTGAGACTGGCTCCCCACTGTAGCCCAGCTTGTAGCACATATGTGCCCTTCAGGAATACTTATCAGACGGACTTGACTTTGCCTAGGAGACTGGCTTAGCTCCATGCCACTGTCTCATGACCCCATTCCCCTGACATCTTGGAATGATGCAGGCTGCTGGTCTCCATTCCTTTGGACCCAGTCATCTCCCTGCAGCCCCTCAGGCTTGTCCCCACCGCTCCAACTTGTGACACCAACATGCAGATTTGAGGCAGCCTTTCACTGCTTTTCATTGTCACTCACCCTCTCACAAAACAGGGGACCACTTCGTCAGCCGGTATCCGGTTGAGCCAAGAGGAACACACGCCGTGGTGAATTGGTCCTTCTCCATCTAGCAGAGTAATGAGCAGGGTAGTCTGGCTGGCCTCCCCGGCCCTACCTCCCCACATCCTCTAGAGGAACAAGCTCTCAGGCCAACACCACACTTCTGCTTTGGAATTTGTGGTCTGGGAAGACCTCAGAATGGGGAGAGTTGGGGCGAGTTGGTGGCTGTGCACTGGGCCAGGGCTCTGTTGGGTGCAGTGGGTTGTATTCAAATCCTGTCCACTGAATGGGCTTGTGTTCAAATCCTGTCCACTGAATGGCCTTCAAGGTGCTGGGGGAGTGGTGGATGGGCTCCTGGTCTCAGAGTCTGCAGGCACTGTGCATTTCAATTGCTTTTCAAGGAGGGAAAATACAGGCGGAGCTTGGGCAGTGAGCTGCCCCAGGGAATGGCCAGTGAGGCTTGCCCTAGTCACTGCCTTGGGGTACCAAAGGATGCAAAAAGTCAGGAAGGGGGTGTGTCTTAGGCTTGGAGGAGCTGAGGCTCCCAAATGCACACCTTGCTCTTTCCTAGTTCTGCTTAGGGATGGCTCTGTGTTGGAGACAGTTTGTGTGCCCTGCGTCTTTCCTCAGTTTCCATATGTAGGGTGGGAGTGTCCTGCAGGAATGTGGGATCCGAATGTGGTCTTTGGGCAGTGAAGCAGGGAGAGACCTCCAGACGCCTTAGGGGAAATGCAGACCCGCGCCTCTGCCCACCTCGGGTGTGGTAGGAGACGATGGCCACGGTGAGGTGTACCTCGTCAGGGTACATGTCCGGGGAGGAGCTGATGGAGTAATAGCGAGGCTGGAGCAGGGACAGCTGGGTGAGCAGCAGGGTGGCTGGCATCTGGATGGACCGAAACTCCTCCAGCACCTCCACCATGGTGGGGTTCTTGCCCCACTTCCACTCCTCATACTCCTGCAACCCCTGTGCCAGGAAGGGACAGAGCAGAGCGTGAGGCCAGCTACTGCCTATTTCCAGTGGGCGCAAAATAAAAGTGAGGCTGGGTACCTCTTCCAGGGGAGTCGTGCTACGCTGGGTTTGCATCTGCTGAGGACATTCTGGAATCGATACTGTCTTGGCTCCCTTGGGCTGCTACCCCCAAATCCTTCTGATAGGTTAATTCGGATGATGGAAATGCAGACGACAGACAATGGAAATCAGAGTACCAGCAGATCTGGTGCCTGGGGAGGTCTATGCTTCATAGATGGCACCTACTACATGTCCTCACGTGGGAGAAGGGGTGAACCACATTAGGTGTGGTGGTACACACCTGTGACTCCAGCACTCTGGAAGGCTGAGGCAGGAGGATCATGAGTTGAGCTCAGCCTGGGCAACTTAGTGACTTAGGGAGACTCTGTCTCAAAATATAGCTCAGTGTGAAGGCCTGGGTTAAATCCCCAGTACTTTTAAAAAAAAGTGTGAACCAGCTCCTTTGGGCTTCTTTATTTATTTTATTATTATTATTTTTTGGTACCGGGGATCGAACTCAGGATCTTGTGCTTGTGAGGCAGGTGCAGTGCCACTGAGCTACATCCCCGGCCTCTTTGGGCTTCTTTTATAAAGATACTAACCCCATACTGGGGGACGGAGCACTCCTGAGCTAATCACTGCCCAACTTTTCTACTTACCTCCCTTTTGTGCAGTACAACAGATGGAACCCAGAGCCTCGAGCATGCTAGGCAAGTGTTCTACCACTGAGCTATGGCCCAGCCCATCCCCTTTTAACATTTCATTTTGAGACAAGGTCTTGCTACGTTGCCTAGGCTGGCCTTGAACTTGCAATCCTCTTGCCACAGCCTCCAAAGAGCTGGGATTATAGGCTTGCACCACCACACCGGGTAGGCCCCACCTCTTAATACCATCCCTTTGTGTGGGGGGGCTTGGTTTCAACACATGAATTTTTTTGAGAGAGCAAAACATTCAGACCATAGCAGGTTTTTACTGTTATGCCCATTTTGTGGATGAGGACACTCTGAGGGACACAGGGGTCCGGTGGCTACCAGGTCGTGATGCTGGGATCTGAATCTAAGCCAGGGTGCGGGAATCTTCAGCTCACCAGCTGGTCCTGGCTTGCTGCCTATTCTGCAGAATAGGAAATGAAATTCCAATTTCTGAGTCCATGAAGTCTTTGGTTGACACAGAGCCACACCCGCTTACTTAGGTGCTGTTTGTGCTGCTGCACTACCATGGTGGAGTTCAATAGTTTTGGAACAGGGACCAAAGGGGCTGCAAGCTTGAATGTTTATCGTCTGGCCTTTTATAGAAAAAAATCTGCTGACTCCCACCCTGGGCGGTCTGATATGAGAAGAAGGCAAGCGCCAGGGCTGTGGGAGTCAGGCCTTGCTGAGTGCAGGAGGTGGCAGGCCTAGAACGCACACCTGCAGTCCGCTGTTGCTGAGGAGGTGGAGAAGCATCCTTGGTGTGTTCAAGATGACAAGTGGCAGTGCAAGCAAAACAGGTCGGAGTGTGTGGAGCACCGTGTTTGGGGGCATATTGACAGCATAGCCCAGCTGTTACCAAGGAACATGGAACTCTCTGGGGTTCTGGAGTTGTTTTCCCCACATCTCAGAAGATGCCTTGGCAGACCCCTTATTGCTGGCATAGGGGGCTCAGTTTCTGGGAGCAGAGGTAAAGTGGATGACAAGTGGGTTGCATAACAAGGTGCACCAGATAGCATGGTCCTGGAGACTGGTCTGCCTAATGAATAGGAAATGGTCATCTTGAGAATGTACATCCTAGTCCTGCAGCCTTGCTGACTTCTAGCTATTGGAGCACATCTGGTTGAGAGCCCCAGTGGAGGCTCTTGGAGATGGACATCCACTTGGATCTGTCATCCATCTGAGGCTGACAGCCATCCCTAGTGCTGGTGCCAGGTCTGGCTCTCATGGTGTTATGGCTTATTTCTAGATGTGCCTCCTCCACCCCAAAGCCTCATGTGCTCATAGGTGGAGCTTTTGGGATTGGGTGGATCAAAGGTGTGGATTAGACCACTGATTGGTTTAGCATAGCTCTGGGTGTGGATTGTGGATTTACTAAAAGAGAGAAGACCCACCCTGGTTGTGGGTGGTACCAACCAATAGGCTTGTATACTGGATGGAATAAAAAGGGAAAGAAAAAGGAAGGCTCTGCTTCTTGCCTGCCATGTCATGGACTGTTTCTCCTCTGCTGTTTTCTTCTGCCATGCTGTTCTGCCTTGGAGCCAGCCAACTGTGGATGGAAACCTCTAAAAACTGTGAGCTAAAATAAAGCTTTTTTCCTTTAACTTGCGGATTTCAGGTATTTTGTCCCAGCAGTGAGAAAATAACTAAGACAAATGGGCTGCTTCCAGTCCAGGATTGATCACAGAAGGGATAGATCCCAAGACAAGTTCATTCCTGGAACACAGGCCTTTGGTTCTAGGACTCTTCAGGAACCTTCCCTGTCCCTCCATATATGGCATTGCAATCTAAGAGGCTTTCACCCAACCTGCCTTCCTTTGGTGTTTCCATTGGTGTTTCCCTTGGTGGTGGCCTTGTTTTGAGATCAAATGGTTCTCCCAGCCTTATCTGACTCATTTTCCTGTTTTCTCTAACATATGTGTTTCCATCAATAAAAATTCTCGCTCATTTATCCAATCTTAGAGGGTTTGTGCTTTTCAGAAGAAATGGGCATATATATATATATATATATATATATATGATTATATAAAATTCTACTTTATATAATCCTGTGCAAAGGGTGTGATCTCTGGTCCCTCTTGACACTGCCCCTCCCCACCCTGAACTGCAAGTGTAAAATCAAAGTTATACATGCACGGAGTGTAAAAAATTAAATAATTCTGCCAAGTTTCTGATTAAAAATAATGGTCTCCTGTTCTACCAAGGCCATCTGTTTTCAGCTCTCCAGAGGTAACCACTTATAACTCTGTTTCTTCTGGTGTTTATTTCTGTATTTCTAAATAATATGCACTTGTTAATAAGCCTCTTCCTCACTGCCCATCATTCAGTGTCCTCTCCTGCACAGCATATGAAGCTAAAGCATCCTTTGCTAAGGGCTTGGTTACTGGCAAGGAGACTCCACTGGGAGGTCCTCCTGGACAGGATCCTTCCTTCTTCCCTTCCCCTTCCCCTTCTCCTTCTCCTTATAATTCCCATCCTCAGTCTCATGCATGCTAGGTAAGTGCTCTACTATTGAGCTACAACCCTAGCCATTAAAATCCTTTTTAAGTTTTTTTTTTTTTGGTACTGGGGATCGAACTTGGGTCCTTGTGCTTGCGCAGCAGGTGGTGAAACCACTGAGCTAAATCCCCGGCCCCCGTAATCCTTTCTAAATTTTGAGACAAAGTCTGGCTAAGTTGTCCAGGCTGGCCTTGCACTTAGCAACCTGAGTAGCTGGGATTCTGGGTAGAGTTCCTACGGAGCAAGGCTGTACAGCATTTTGGAGCAGGTGACTCCATGGTTTCTAAGCAAGGGTGGTACAAGCTGTATTTGGCTTCCTCACCATCAGAAGCCTCTTATGTCTCACTGTGCTACCTGTAGCTTCTTTCACCAGGACACTATCAGATTCTGTTACTTTTTCTCCCAAGCACTGACTACTTTAGAATTCAATGAAGCTCAAGGTAAGAAGGGTGGAAACAGAGATAGGGTAACAACTTCTGTGGTAGCCAGAGTACTTTGAGTGTCAAGGGGGGTGCTGTTCTTTAGATGGTTAGGAGCAGGCCAAATGGAGAAACCAATATGGGGACCATGTGTGTTTTAGAAAATGGCCCCCCTACTGCTCCAAACTGCCCTCTGGTGGACAGTAGGGGGAACAACAATCTCATAGTTCTCCAACGACCAGAAAATGATAGGTGCCCACTGGGGTTGGGTAAGGCAGGGGACCCACCTTGCTGAGGACCAGCAGGCGCTGCTTCTCCTTCTCGTTGGTGGCCAGGGAGGCGAACTGCTGCAGCTGCAGGGGTGTGGGTGGTGTAGTTATGTCCAGGTAGTACTTGAAGGCCTGGAAGATGGTGCAGGGAGGGAGGCGGGGCTCATCCTTCCAGTTACTGATGACGCCTGGGGAGGCCCAAGGGGAGAGGGAGGTAAGGAGGGGCTGGGTGCACAGTGGGTCTTGGCCTGCTGCTGGGCAGAGGATCAGCTGGATGAGCAGCATGGTGCCAGGGCCAGGCCACCTGAGCCTCCCACTTCCACACCTCTGTGGAGTCCAGGGGACCCTGTGGTCACCTCATGGGTGCAAGGAGCATATCCCAAAGCACTTAGTCAGACTAGCCCCCACATTCAAAAATAAACATGGAGCTGAGTGATGCCTGTAATCTCAGGACTCTGGGAGGCTAAGGGAGGAGAATCTCCAATTCGAGCCTAGCCTGAAGTCTGGGCAACTTTTTGAATTAGGGAGGCTCTGTCTCAAAAAGAAAATAAATAAGTCAAAAGGCTGGGGATGCAGCTCAGTGTGAAGACTCTGCCTTAAATCCCTAATTCCACAAGAACAAACCAAACCAAACCAAACCAAATAAAAGCAAAAATATGAGAGGAGCAAAATCGCATGAGAGAGTCCTGGGGATTCCACATCATCGCCCCCCAACTGAGCGACAGGCAGAGGCACACTCTGACCCCATCTGTGCTCTCACGGCGTCGGCTTCTCACCCCTCGGCAAAAGATGCTCATGTTTAAAATGAAAATCATAGCTAACACTTATCTAGCACTTTCTATATGGCAAGTACTATTCTCAGTACTTTATATTATTAACTAATTTAATCCTCACAACAATCCCAGGTGGTGAGCACCATTATTATCCTTTTATTGAGAAAAACGGAAGCACAGAGAGGGTAAGGGATTTGTCCAAGGTCACACAGCTCTTGAGTGCAGAGTCAGGCAGTCTGGCATCAGATCTTATTCTAACTACTGCACTGTGCAGTTGGCTCTCCATATCCATAGGCTCTGTATTCTGTGGATTCTACCAAGGGTGGAAAATATTTGAAGAGGGCTTCACTTGTACTGAACATGTACAGGCTTTTCTCCTCGTCATCATTCCCTAAACCACATGGCATGACAACTATGTGCAGAACAGTGACACTGTATGAAGCATCATTAGTAATCTAGAATGACTTAAAGTTACAAGAGGGTGTGCAGGGGTTAGGGACAAACACTGTGTCATTTTACAAAAGGGATTTGGGCATCTGGGGATTTTAATGTCTTCCTGGAACCAGTTCCCTTAGATAGAGTGATGATTGCTCTTCCTCTGGGTCCACCCAACGTGGTCCCTGAACACAGCACTTCCTTCCCAGGGGTTCAACCCAGAGGAGAAGTGGCCAGGTGGGGTTTATTTAGAGAGGTGCGTCTCTCCAAAGCTAAGCTTTCCTAAGGGATTTTCAGGAGGGCTTTGACTGTGAATTTCTCCCACATTCTGCCCCGATTTTACACCTTAGCTGCTTTGTAAACATGGCAGTTGTGGTGTCATGGGCTGCTATGTAAGGTCACTGTAGATCCTTGTACCAGAGCCTTGAGCCCACCTGATTGGGAGATGAACTCTGAGACCCATTTGCCTTTGAGGGTTCTTTACTACGAACTCCAAGGACGGTCACTTAACATGTTAGACTTGATCTAATGATGTCAAACATGTGGGTTCCATCCCTCAGGGGCCATCAAGCTTCCTGTAGGTGCTTTTGATTCTAAAGGGAGTCTGGACCAGAAGGCAGTTGGTATTTACTTGGAGTTAGGATCAGACTAAGAGGAATCAGGATCAGGCTCTTAAGAAGACTCAGGATCAGACTTCGGCTGCCATTTATTTCGTAGGCAGTAGAGTATTACAGATTTTCTTAAGGGATGATGGCGATGAAGAAAATACAAAAGTGCCTGTTGCTAAAACGAGTGTCTAGTGATGGCCACAGTAGAAATCCCTTCGCCCAGTGAGCCATCTGCACCTGGTGTCATGGCGTCTGCTTGGTGAGCCATGAGAAAGGGCGAGAGTGTCTCCTAAGCTGGAGGGGACAGAGCGCCACTCTCCTCCATGGATTAGTGGGTAGGAAGAGGGCTGAGTCTCTCCTTCCCACGCACCCATCCCTCTGGACCTCCCTGGGGATGGGAAGGGAAATGTCCCAGAGCATTACCCAAAGCCGTGTTCCGCTCCTCTAGCAGTTCCACCTTGACCATCTGGTTGACAGGGGGTGCATCTTCCAGCCGCTCGATGAGGGCATTCACAAGGTCTTCATGGTTGCCAGGGAAGACCCCCAGGTGGTCTCCGGGCTGGTACTGCAGCTCCTGGTTTCCGTTGGTGTGCAGACGCACGAAGATGGTTGATCGGCTGCAGGGAGGGAAACGGAACGATGGGACAGGAGCCACCAGCTTCTGCCCCCTTTCTCTGCTTCGTGGTTGTAACTCCTTCCTTCCATTCTCTCTGGGGCCCATGCCATCAAGGCTTGTGCCCTATCCTCCTCTCACGGCCCCCAAGGGGTCCTCACTGCAAATCCCCTGGTGGTCCCCGGGCTCATCTGGACAGGGAAGTAGCACCGGCTATGACTGCTCACCTCCTTCCCTTCTCCCTTCTTGGATGCCACCACCCTGAGCGCACCCAGTCTGCTCAGTCTCTTTTGCTGGTTCCTCTTTGTCTCCCCAAACTCAACATTGGAGCACCCCAGGGCCCATCCTCAGAAATATCTGCTCCTCTGTCTTCCTGCTTTTGCTTTACTTTACTCCATTACATCTCCCATCCTCTGACCTGCAGTATTGCTTGACTCCTTCTATGGTTTGTGATCTGTCCTCAGCCAGGACAACACGAACTGTGTGGCTGGCTGAGGATTTGCTTTGTCTACTGCTACATTCTTGGTGCTTATCACACTGTCTGGCACATAGTAGGTTCTTGAAAAGTATGTGTTGAAGAAAGGAACCTCAGACTTCCGGGGTAAACCAGCTGCTGGGGAGGCTCTGTTCTCAGTTCCAATTAGGGTTCTCTCAAGGCCCAGCACCCCAGTGGAACCACAGGCTAACCTGTGAAATTCCATCTCTCCTGAGAATTCCAGGCTCCACCCCTTTTTTGCAGCCATGGTCCTCATGTTGTCAATGATAAAGGGAAAAAGACCTGGCCTTAAGCTTGGGTTCCTCTTATACATACATTCACCAGTATTGTAACATTAAGAGATATGAGAAAAAAATCCAGAGGGAAATGCACTTATACCTGTCCAGTAATGCCCTTTCACAATGATTTTTGTGTTTCAAGTTCAATGGCTTCAAGAAAAAATTCTCAGAAGGTGATTATTCTGGTCCTTTGACAAGTTTTTGTACAGGTAATACTACATTTTATCCAATCCCTGAAAAAGGGATCAATGACACTTGGGTAAATCAAGCCCTTTGTACTCTGAGCTGTGTTTGCTTTTCAGATCTGCTCTTTCTTCATTGCCAATTGGTTTCCGTTGGCGGAGATGCTTGATATTCAACATGAAGTTCCTACATTCTCCATGGTATGTAAATCACATTCGAATAGACCAATGGGACTCGCTATTTAGAGGTTTTTGGCACAACCAAAAGCCCTTTTGTGCTACAAATAGCCACCATTACTAAAAATAGTTGAGCTGGCACATTTTTTGTGTGTATGGGGGGAAGTATCAAGTATTTTCTATCCTTAGTGTGGTGGGGGATTAATTGGTGGTCATAATTGTGAATAGTGCTCCTTTCCTGGGCAGATCTCACCCTCTCTGGGGCACTGATCTTCTTCATTACGCAGACTTGCATGACTGATTCTCCCCTGAGCCCACACCAGTCTTTGGTTCCTGAGAGCAAAGACTTCATCATCAATCATTATTACTTGGTGCTGTTGACCGGAAGGGAATGAGCAGAGGCCAGAAGCCAGCAGAGGGCGCTGTACGGCTTCTAATGTGGGCGCTTCCTGCGCTCCTCCAGAGGGAGCCTTAGAAAGGCCCGCAAATCAATTCCCGCTTTCTTCCCTGCGGATCACGATTTGTACAAAACAGAAATTCAGAGAACCTGAACTTGTTGAGCTGGCTCACGAGCCCGGACCACTTCCCCCAAGTCCTCCTGAATATGGGGAGAAGGTGGAGGGCAGGCAGATAAGGGGCAGGAAGGGGAATGTGGCCAGAAGGTGAGCTAGAAGGTGGCCCAGGCCCTGGCCAGGCAGGATTTCATGCTGCTTGCTGAGGTCCCTGATAGAATGGCCTTGTGGCCAGGTCACCTTGGTGGGCTGCTCCTTGGTGCTATGCTGGCAAGCCGCTCTTCATGTGGCAGCATGGGCCTGGATACTGATTGTTATGGATCTCAGTTCTCCTGGAGGATTCTCAGTGGGGGATTTGAAAACTTGGGACACACATGAGCCTTTGGGAAGTTCAGGAGGAGAGGCGAAAAGGGACAGCCCATCCAATTCTTCCCCTAGAGGGTCCCCTGCTTGTGATGCATTTATATCCATGTAGAGAAGCATAGCACGTGCGCACGTGTGCGCACACACACACAACTACTTGGCAGTGGTTCAATGACAGGTTCACAGATGAAAGAACAATCTGATAACGTCTAGCATTAAATGGTAAAAACAAATAGCTAACGTTCATTCTTCAAGGATGAGCGTAAACATTCTCAGTTGTGAGCTGTCTGAGTGAATTAACAAGTTTCATTCATTCCACACACGTTTATACTGAGGGTCAGGTGCTGTTCTAGGCACTGCTGAGAGTGGTGGGAGAGGACAGCAGCCTTCCTTGTGCTCATTGAGAGATGCCTTGAGGGCAGTGGGCCGAGTCGGGTACAATGGTCAGGGTGGCCTCTCTGGTGATCTGACACTTGGACAGAGACTTAAACGATGCAATGACACGAGGAGCAAAAATTCAGGGCAGCCTGTTCCGGAAGGAGGAAATAATACATGCCAAGGCCCTGAGGGAGGAAAAGGGGAGGCATGTTCAAGAAAGGGTAGGAAGGGCTGGGGGATTTAGCTCAGTGGTTCTGCTGCCTGCCTCGCAAGTGCAAGGACCTAAGTTCGATCCCCGGTACCAAAAAAAAAAAAAAAAAGAAAAGACAGGGTACGAAGTCTGGAGGGTTTGGAGACCCCCAAAGACCTCATCAGGAGCTGTCACTGTAAGGAGTTTGGCTGGCTATGTCCAGAAAGAAGCCGCTCCAGGCAGCGATGCTGAGGGTGAAATGCTTCCACGTATGTGTTTCAAAGATTACCCAAGCAGCTGCTTGGAAAGCAGATCTGTGAGAGAAAAGCCAAGGAACAAGGGGACAAGTTAGGCAGTGGTTTTTGCCACCAGAGATGGCCGTGGCTTTGCTCAAGGTGGCCACTGGGGCCAGGAGTATCCATGGAGATATTGCACGTGCTGGGGTGAGGAGCAGAGAGGAGGCTGGAGGTTTTGGCCAGAGCCAAATGTTAATGTGCTGTGTGGAGCTGGGGAGGCCTGGAGAGAAGCAACCTTATCCATGGGGAGATGAGAAGTAAGAGTTCCTTCTAGCGAGGAGCCTCTATTGTAAAGTCCACTACTCTCCAAAGCACTGAATGCTCAGGCCCCTTCCCACCTTCACACCTGGTTTCCTTCTTGGTGACCACAAAGGGACTCGAACTCCCAATCTTCTTGGTCCTAGATACCCACCTCTGCTCCTCTCTAATGTCCCAGCTTCATTTCACGCCTTGCGTTTTCCCTCCTCCCCCTTGCTTCTAGGATTTACCATCTCCCCCACCCCTACCCATTAGCTCTCCATCACATTCTGTCTCATGTACTTTTGCTAATTGTTGTGTACTTATTAGAAAATTTATTTCCAGGCAGGGCACGACTGTGGTCACTTTCCCCTTTAGACCTGCAAGAACCACCCCGAGAAGCCTGTTTACTTCCTTCTCCGCGCTTGCCTGGCAATTGAGGGTCTCTAGCGGGGCTGATTTGTGACATCTTGGTTTCAGCCTCCTAGGCCAAATAGTCACCTTCAGCCTTGGGCAGGAGGAAATGGGAGATTCATGCTCTTCCACCCACTTATCTTTTTTTTCTATAAACCTTGTAACACTAGAAATGGTTTAGTGCTACAGAACATGCTTTTAAAAACAGAAACGCTCAGGTACAAGTTGGTCCTTTTGGTGCTTAATCACAGCTGATTTTAATACTACATTCCAGTGCCTAACCTTGCTCGAAATATTATTGTCGGTTGCTTTTAGACCCTCAACTCAGAGTTGAGGTCAGGTGTCCTCCCCAGAGGTGGGTGGGGGTGGATTTGGGGACTTTGGTTCAACTTAGCATCAATACATTTGCAAGTTTTCTTGCAGCTTATGCACTGGGTTTAGGGAGTACATATTATAAGCTGGGTTTTGGTAGTTTGTGCTGAGAGAAATTTCCAGCAGATTCTCAACTTCTTCTTTTCTAATGCTATTCAAGCTACACCTTTCCATGAGATATAAATGGGAAATAAGATACATATGTCAAATACAGATCCCCCCCCCCATCAGAGGCATTATGTTCTGAATATTGCATTTAACTAATTATTCAGAGAGCTCAATTTCCTGGTCTTTTTCTTACACTGGAGGATCTAGGAGAGAAGACGAGAACCCTGGGGCTCTGAGCTGTTGATTTTATTAATCGAGGGGTTGGAAGGCCACACAGAAACACGCCTGGTAACTTTGCAGGCAATTCGAAACTAGGATGGATGAGGAGTAGAAATGGGAACTAGGAGGCGCCGGCTGCTCCATGTCCCTTGTTTTTAACACTCACAGCAACCCTGTAATGCTGTTGAGGCCATCTGTGTAGTCATTTGGCTGATTGACTTTGGAGCCAGATAACCAGGTCAGCGTGACCTTGAAAAGAGTCACTTGTATTTTCTCAGTGTCATTTCTCCTATTTAAAACGTGGGCAATGACAGTCTCCACTTCCTGAGCTGCTATGAATCACGAGAGGTACTATGTGCAGTGCTTGGAACACAGAAAGGACTAGATAAATGTCAGCAATCTTCCTGGCCATTATTCCCATTTTATAGATAAGGAGACAGGGGCCCAGAGCACCAGAGCTCAGGCCACACAGCCAGAGCGTGGAGAACTGGAGTCAAAGCCCACGCTTTGTGCTATGCCATGCAAAGGATCAAGATTTCAAAAGATCTTGCCAGGCTGTAACTGCAAAGTGAGAAAAGGTTCTGTGGAACGGGGATCAACACAAAGACATTCATTAGTGCTGAAAAATTATTTATACAAGTAGAGGGGTTGATAGCACTGGTCTGATCATTTTGAGAGGAGAGAGGATGTCTAGCAGTGGCAAGGACGCAGGCTTAATGGGAGAGAAGGCTGCCTGTTAGGACAACGCTGGCAATCTCAGGCCGTGGTAGCACATCCTGCTCAGATTGGTGATGGCAGTAATTACCCCAGCACATTCGGCTTCAATCACAAGACCTCCACTGCACCGTGACCAGGCCTGAGAATGACATTTCCAGCAGGACAGAGCGTGTCCTTCTACTAAAGCCAAAGGCCTGGGAAACAGGAGTTAGGGAGTGACATTGGAAGGTGTCAGGACCCAGGGGAAATTGGTCCATTTCTTTGGTTATTTGCAGATCTCCATACAAGAAGTGCATTTCCTTTGGGTGCCACAGGAAAGGGTAACTGGATTTTAAAAAAGTACTGAAAAGACATGCTTTGGCTATAGTACATATAAAGCTATTTGGCTATACTAGATTTATGAGCTATTTGGCTCTGTTGGATATTAAGATAATTTCCAATGATTTTAGGACTTCCAAACAGAGAGTGGCCCATTTGGTAGAGGGAATGAACCTCTCAAAAGAAATTTAAGCCAAGTCCAGGTAACCATGTTTGCAGTATTCCACTGAAAACAATTATCCACAGTGGGGAAATGCTTGGACTAAGTGATTTTCAGTGAAGATGCTGTGATACAATGGACACTGAATAATCCCAAAGGGTGTGGTGCACCATGAAGAATCACTCAGAAAACCTTTCTCTTTCCCCCTTTCACGTGAGCAACACCTTTTCCTTTGTCTAGGTAGGAACTTCTGTTTTCAGAGCTGGTGATGGATCTAGGGCCTCATGCATGCTAGGTAAGTGTCCTATCCCTGAGCTACACCTCCAGCTCCACTGGGACCCTGGTAAAGGGAAAATAGAAAACTCAGGTATGGCAGGGGTAATAGGGGTAATAGGTGACCTTTGCAATTGTTGGGACATAGGAAGCTGGTTCATGGAGTCAGCATGACCTCTTACCTTATTGCAGGTGGCATCTGGGAGCCAAAGTGGGCAATGCCAAGTGAAGCCCCAAGGGTTCCTACCTGGATTTAGGACTTTGCAGGTTCTGACGGCTCAGGAGTCGTGCAGCGGAGACTCGCTTTTTGTGGACATTGGAAAGACCTGTGAGTAGAAAAAGAGTTGTCCATAAAATGCTCTAGCTTTCCATGGAGACTCTACTCACACTTGTATGCCTTCTGGAGCCAAGCAAAGAGATAAGAGACGAGGCTGGGCAGCATTGGTAGGGGGATACGATAATGCAGAACAGAAAGCAGACTCAGTTGAACTCAGTTGGGATGGGCTAGGTTGTGGGGGATACACCACACAACCATGGAGCAGCTTCCAAGCACACATGTCCCTGGATCGGGCAGTAATGTGGCATGCTCATTTTGGGAAGACGACATTAGAGACCAGAGCAATGAAGCCACCTTCCCCACTTTCTGGGGAGACATCCCCTGCCCTGCGCGTCCTTTCTCTCTCCCCTGACGACCGGGTGGTTCGTGGTACCTTGTGTGAGTTCTGGTGCCTCAGCCACATAGGTGAGGCGGAACTTGTTTCTCTTCCAGCTTCGGTCATTGCTGATGAGTGAATTGTTCGCCTTCTCGATGTTGACATCATCCCCCACGCAGAACACATCGCAGGCTGCCTGTAACATGGGGAAGGCTTCTGGTGACTTCTTTCAGCCAAGAGGGGCTCCTGCCTGGGAGCTCCAAGTCATGGCATGTATTTCACCATCCTTCTTCCCTCCCTCCTCCCTGCCTCCATCCTTTCCTTCCTTTCTTCCCTTATCTCTCCACCCACTCACCCTCCCATCCATCATTCTGTCCATTCATCAGTCCACTCACCTACCCACCATTCATTCATCCACTCACCCATCCATCCATCCATCCATCCATCCATCCATCCATCCACTCACCCCATCCTCCCAACCACCCAGCCATGCATCCATCCATCCTGGTTTTTTTTGAATACCTTCTATGTGCTGGATACATCATATTTACCACTGACTTTATGACTTCACCTTTACTTACGATATAACTCTATGCTGGCATTTATTTCTAAAACCAACATGCATAGAGGCTTAACATTAAAGAGGAAAGTAAATGCCATAGAATTTCCTACTTATCTTCCATAAAAGATCAGAATTATACAAAGACAGAATATCTGGATGCCTGGATATACATTTTTCTTGTTTTTTTTGGATCAAGGTAATTCATTCCCTAATGTTAATAATACTAAGAATTATTGTTCAGAGTTATTATTATTATTATTATTATTCTTGGTACTGGAGATCGAACTCGGGACCTTGTGCTTACGAGGCAGGCAGCAGAATCACTGAGCTAAATCCCCAGCCCCAGAGTTATTATTGTTGTTATCATTATTTTTGAGATGGAATCTTTCTGTTTCTCAAGCTGGTCTCAAGTGAGCCTACAAAGTAGCTGGGACCACGGGCACATGCCACTACAAAATTATTTTTCAGTAAAAAAATTTCCAGGGTAGTTTTACCAACGTTTGGGTTTGTGTTGATTGTAAAGCAATTCAAGTGTTCATCAATGGTCAAATGGATAGGCAAAATGCAGCCTATCTATATGATGGACTATTAGTTGGCCACAAAAATGGACGAAATCCTGACCCCTACTACAACATGGATACACCCTGAAAACATTACACCGGGTGGCAGAAGCCAGACACAAAAAACCACCCATTCTATAGTTCCATTCATATGAAACAAACAGAACAGGGAAATCTAGGCACAGAAATTTGATTAGTGATCATTAGAACTAGGAGTGGAATGGGGGAACAGGTTGACAGCTAAAAGGTACAGTGGTTTTTAACATGTCTTACTTTTGGGTTGCCCAACGGAGGTTGGCTAACTAAAACCAGTGGCCATACAATGATCTCCAGTGTGAAAAATCCAAGTTATCTCAACTCCCCATATCTGGTTAGAAATACAGGAACAGGCTTACAACCACAGGGCCTCCCCCAGAACTCCTTACAGCCCAGGAGCCTCAGTTTTCCCTTCTGCTCTCTATCTGCCCTTGCTTTATAGATAAAAAGTGTCCATGGGCTGACAGTAGAATGCACAATCTCCTCTCTCCTGGAGCTGTGGGTAAGAATGCACCCCAGGGAAGCGGAAGGAGCAGGTAAAGGTGACGGTCCACATTCAAGCCCCTGTCCCCAGGGTGGACTGTTTAACCAGAGCCAGACACAAGGCCACATTTCACTTATTCTCCTGTGACCTCTTATTAGGACAGTGCCCACCAATAGGATATTTTCTCATGATGGAAACATTTTGCATTGTGTAGGATGGAAACCATTAGCCACTTGTGGCTGCCATGCACATAAAAATGTGCACAGTGCAACTGACGTGGAATTTTCAATTGTACTTTTTTTACTGTGTGTAGATAGACTCTATAATTTTACTTATTTATTTTTTGTGGTGGCAGGGATGGAAACTAGGGACTCAGGCATGCTAGGCAAGTGCTCTATGACTGAGCTACGCCTCTGGCCCTGGTTATTATTTTTGTGGACCAACTCCTTGCCCATACATGGTTGAGGATATTGGATTCTGGGTGAAAATGTGAGTTTTAAGGCCCTCAAATTCACTGGAGCTGTTTAGAGCTGTATGCTGGCTGGACACATAGCGAAAGTACCAGGGGTTCTTTCTCCCAAGTTCCTTTCTTGATGACTTCAGTGCTCCCCTTGGGATCTAGGGAGTATTTCTCCTTCTCCTTGAGTTTCTTTCTTTCTTTCTTTCTTTCTTCTTCTTCTTCTTTTTTTTTTTTAGTAGTATTTGGGATCTTTGCACTGAGCTGCATCCCTAGCCCTTTTCAAAAATTTTAAATTTTGAGATCGGGCTAAGTGGCTCGGGCTGGGCTGAACCTTGTGATTCTCCTGCCTTAGCCTCCCAGAGTTCTGGGATTACCGGTGGCTGTCCCACCAGGCTCAGCCATTCCTAAATTTTGAGATCCAGATTACCTTGAAGACCTTCTTGGCCCAGGTCCTGAAAGCCTCTTCCTGCCCACAGAGCTCGTCCCCCTCCCTCATCTTCAGGATCCTCTCCCCTCCCAGCTCTTCCAGGAGAGTGTCCACAGCATGTCCGAAGGCGCAGAAGTGCGGGTAAGCCCGGGAGCCGAGGCCAAATACTGAGAACCTGCCAAGGAGACACCAGAGGGTCTAAGCTAGGGAATGGTGAGGGGTGTGTGCGCGGGGTCTGCATCCTGGGCTGACATGTGTGCTCTCAGAATTCTTATGTTGGAGCCCTAAGCCTCCCTGTGCACATTCACACCCCTGTGCATATATGCGCGGTGATAAAAAATATGGCGGATGTTTAAAAATCACAGTAAAAGACACACTGCCATTAATTCCCCTCAAAATCCTCCTGGTCACTGGGAATACACTGATCCCATTTTTCTCACCACTTTCTGCACCAGTTCTGGAAGTTCTCTTTCATGAGTGTCTTTGGTTACACTGCTGTGACTACTTCAATGTCCCGAATTGATTCGAAACATTTACCTTTCATGGTCGTTTTGACTTTCAGGAAGAGACAGTAGCCATACAATGCCAGATTTGGTGACTAAGGTGGATAAGGTCACATCATAATGTTTTTACAAGCCTGCTCTCCATTGAATGGCACTCGGCAGCAGCACTCACCGTATTTTTCTTTTTACCACATTTCATAAAGACATGAAAGAGGACTTCCGGAAGTGCTTCAGAAAGTGGTAAGAATGATGGAATAAGTGAGTTTGAAATGAAGGGAAATATTTTGGCAAAATTAATAGTAATGTGTCAGTGTAATGACCTTTTTTCCCCAGTTTAAACATTTACCATATATTTTGATCCCATTGCATAGGTGGAGACAGGGCCTCTGTGGAAGTAATTCAAGTTAAATGAGGTCATAAGGGTGGGGTCCTAGTCCAACAGTTATCAGTGCCCCCATAAGAAGAGGGAGCACTTCCCCACTGCGCTTTCTCTCACAATGCAGTGGGAAGATGGCCAGGCAAAGAGGTTGCACCAGAAACCAACCCTGCTGCTGATGCCTTGCTCTTGGATTTCTAGCTTTCGAAACAATGATAAAATCAGTATCTGTTGTTTTAGCCACCATTCTGTGGTACTTTGTCATGGCAGTCCAAGCAGACTAACATAAGTGCTGTCTCAGGTAGCACTGTGTTTGGTTCATGGTGGTCAGGCCACCACAGGTGCCTCTGGAAGGCCATGTGTAACCCTCGGAGCCCTCAAGACTGCTTCCTTCCCTTTGGCCTCTGCTAGGTCCCATCATCCTTAGGAGAAAATCCAAATTGTTGAAATTCTAAGGTTCTTAGGAGGATGGGATGGGGACAGTAGCGATCTGGAACCACTGAGTGCCTCTTGCATATCCCTTTCTGAGCTGGATGAATGGAAAAAATAGGCTGTCTTTGTGGAAGGATTGAATTCTACAAGAAACAAAATTAGATTAGCTTTAAGTAGAAAGACACTGAAGGCTCTAACATGATTGTCTGTAGAGACTTGTATTAATAAAGGGACCAGAAGGTCTTGTCACAAACACATTAAATGTTGGTGTGTACACAGGATTTTCCAGTGGAATGAAAGGGTTATAACCATGCCAACTCCACCCCTCTTAATGACTATGGAATTGATTTGCTCACACTCCCTCTTTGCCCAGATACCATAGAAAGTGTTGGTGTTTGAAACAGTGGAGGTTAAATCAATGCAAGTTTTCTCCATGTTGAGGTGGGGAGACTTTGGAGGTGTGCATGCACGCATGTGTGTGTGAGTGTCCAGGGCCTTTGCATGGAGCTACATTTCCAGCCCACGTTTAAATTCTGAAACAGAGTCTCACTCAGTTCCCCAGGCTGGGCTCCAGTTTGAGATTCTCCTGCCTCAGCCTCTTAGAGTGCTGGGATTACAGGTGTGCACCAAAATGCCGGGCTTAGTCTTGGTGCCACTTAATGCCTCATTTCTGGGGCTTGGTTCAGGTCGAATCTCTGGACCAGGGATGGAGCAACAAGTCTACTGGGACAAGGGCTCCCCCTACTTCACTCAAGGTGAGAGTATCGTTTCACCCTGGGTGAGTCAAGGAGAGGAACTATTCTCCCTGCTCCACACAGGGTCTGGCCCTGACCCTGACTCTTTTCTTGAGAATGACAGGGACAAGATGATGACAGATGGAGACCGAGGGGGTGGGAAGCAGGTGCAGGAAGTTGGGAAGGGTGAACTTGAGATGGGTCAGGGGTCTCCTAGGTGGGACGAAGGCTCACAGAGGCTAATGTTATCCACTCCTCTCAACTCTACATCCATGTTGTCTCCTCTTCTTTCCTGCTCTCCTTTTCCTGGGGCTCCCGAGCCCTTCCTACTCAAGCGTGTGCAACTAGTTGTGTTTCCTCCCATCACTCCACACCTCCCCATCCAACTGTTTCCTTCCAGGCTGGAAGGTGGTGAAATGTGACCAGGTGAGGCCTAACTGGAGGGGCATCTGGAAAGGGCAGCCCAGGCCCCAGCCACCACCTTAGCCCAGTGCAGACTGGAAATTCCTAGCACCGGGCACACCTGTGTCTAAGATGTCATTCTCCAAACCTCTTATTTATGCTCGTGTTGTCTGCCACCTTTGACTATCTTTGAGACTCTTAATAATTTTTTGTGTTCTTTAACTTGCTTTCAATTTTTACTTTCTAGGCAGTAAACCACATGCTACGGTCTACCTGTGTCCCTTCTAAATCATAAGTTGAAACCTAACCACCAGTATGATGGAATTAGGAGGTAGAATTTTAGGAAGTGATTAGGTTATGGGGGTGAAGCCCTCATAAATGAGATTAGTGCCCTTATAAGTGGCTGAAGGGACCAGAATTCTTCCCTTCCACCAAGCGAAGACAAGGCTAGAAGGCACCACTGATGAACTAAAAGTGGGCCTTCCCCACACACTGGATCTGCCGGTGCCTTGATCCTGGACTCCCTGGCCTCCAGAACCATGAGTGATAAATATGTGCTGTGTATGAGCCACCTAGTTTATGAGATTGTGGAACAGACTAAGATGTCCACCTCTTGTGCTTGCCAACACACGGTCCAAGTGATTCATTCATTTGCTTCTTACTGGACCTACAGCCTGCATTGCAGTGAGCAGTCAACTTCTGTTCCTGTCACAATGCTCACTTACAATTTCAAACTTCCTACTTTAAATCTCCAAACCAACAGTTGACTAGCTTCTTTTTTTTGGCACCAGGGATCGAACTCGGGTCCTTGCGCTTGTGAGACAGGCGGTGTAACCACTGAGCTAAATCCCTGGCCCTGACTAGCTTCTTGTAAGTGAGGCCATACAGCAAATATTTTTAGGAGTGTGAAACTGAAGCCACTATGTAGGTACTATATAACAAGAAAGAAAACAAAATCCTGTCCATTTTTAAGTTGACAAAATAAAAAACCATAATAATAATTGAGGACAATTAAAAAATTACAGGTCTCTTAACGAGAAGAATGGGATTATTTTTTGAGGGGACAACATTTTGCTTAGCTGGGGTTCATAGGTAAAGCTTTCTATCATCAGATTAATTATAAAAGTTTGTCTGTGACGAACTTTTTTAGCTCATGTGTTGTACAATAATATACAGCAGTCAGGCTGGAGTTGGCCTGCAGGGATGAGTTTGCCAACCCCTTCTGTGATAGATTTCATAAGAGAAAAATAGGTCTGACTGTTAAACTCCAGAACTGATGTTTCAATGTTGAGCTAAAAAATGTACTGATGTCAGGACTCATGAAATGTCTCATTCCAAGATGGGATCCTAGTGTAAACTAAGGCTCTGGGTGACAATGATGTGTCCAGGTGGGGTCAATGATTCTAGCAAGTGTAAGCTGTGCAGGGTGCTGGGGTCAGGGGGGTAAGGGAACTTATTGCACTTTCTGCTCAGTTTTGCTGTCAACCCATAACTGCTATTTAAAAGTAGTCTATTTAAAACATGCACTGATGGGTAGGATCCTTCAGTGTCTAGGGACCCTGTGACCTGTATCATCTACTAAGCATTGCTCTCAGCAGCTGTTAAGAAGGCCGGAGAAATTTATGGCTGGGCCAGAACGTTATGCCTATGGAGTTGCTCACATCCATCTCATTTTGACCAATATCCCTGAGACCAAAGTTTGCCATCCCAGTTTATGTCTTTCCAAATACTCATTAAATGGAATACATGGTTGTTGAAACATCATATTTGGCACGTGCTCCCTAAAATTATCTCATGATATGTGACCATGCTTTGGGGAACATGGAGGTAAGCAAGGATTTTAAAAATTTGACTGTAGGTTAGAATCAACTGGAGAGATTTAAAGACAAAGGTCTATGCTTTAGCCCAGTTCTAGATCAGCTACGTCAGAATCTCTGGAGTCATGGCTTCGCTATCACATCAGTATATGGCTAACATCCCCAGGGGATTCTGATACGCATCCAGGCTTCAAAACCAAGGATCGTGGCTGGGTGTCTCCAGAAACATACATTAAGTGTAAAAGGTGTCCATCAGGAAGGGCCGCCTTATGAGCAATTAGTATCTGTAGATTAATGTCCTTCAGCACAGATGCTGGGGTGAGTCCTGGAGGTAGGGCTGTCAGAGGGGACGGAGAGGAAGAGCTGTCATACAGCAGCATGTTTCCATGGGACAGGGGTCCTGGTGCCCAGGGAGCAGCTGGTTTTATGCAGGATGAAGGAGCATGAAAAGGGGGACCCTCTTCCCCACAACAAAGAGCCCACCTTGCAATTCTCTCCGAAGACTTGGTCTTCCCTGTCCCTCCAGCCCCCTTGCTTACCTCACGTTGGCCAGGGGTCCAGCACTCTCAAAGTTGTCTCTGAGGTCAGGCCCATCGCCCGATGATTTGTGGGAGTCAGAGTAGGAGGAGACACTGTTGAACCGGACCTTGTAGCTCCTGCCAAAATGAATAGGGCCTGTGAGCTCTGGTTTGGAACCCCTGCCCACCTGGCTGGGGCTGACACCTCCTTTGGATCTTTAAGTTACTGGTTCTGATTCTAGTACCTTTTCTTGTGCATGGAGTTGAATTATATCACTCCCATGGTCTCTTCAAGGATGTATCAACATCCCCAGGCCCAGTACAATGGTAACTATTCCCCTGCACTTGACTCTGCCTCTATTTCAAAGGTTTCTGGTCACACCTGACTTAGGAAACTTTGGATCCATATCATTAAAATGCTTACTTCGCTAGGAAGTCAGGAATCAAATGGACCAGCCCCTCATCATGAGACGTACTGCCCAAATTGTAATGCGTATAAGAATCATCCTGGACTCCTGTTAAAGTACAGATTCTGGTTCAGTAGGCCTGAGGTAAGGCCTATAAATCAGCATTTTTATCCAGCTCCCAAGAGATGCCAATTTGCCAATCTCCAGAACTTACTTTAAGTGGCTAGGAACTAGATTTGTACTTTCCAGTATGGTAGCCATTGACTACCTTTGACTATCTAAATTTAAATTAATTAGAATTAAATGCAATAAAAATTCTGTTCTTCACTTGCACCAGCCACCCTGGGGTGCTCACAGGTGGCTCTGGCTGCTGTATGGAGCAGTGACCTTGTTATGCAAGATTCCATTGGATGGTTCTGATTTGTCCCAGTCAGCACTGTCCTATGGACTTAAGGTCCTCAGACATCTCAAGGTTGGCCATGGGTCACAGTTCAAGGTAACAAAAAATGTTCACCACTGATACAAGCATAAAAAGACACTGCATTTTATTAAACTGTTTTTAAGGGGAAGGAAGATATCCTCAAACCCGGCATGAGAGTCACAGAAACCTTGAGATTAAAAAAAAAAAAATCAGTTTCCCAGTTTTTCTCTAAAAGTGGTATGTTTTATTTTCAGACAACACAAAGCCAAACCAAAACAAGCAAAGAAAAACGAAAAACCACCCTCCCTACAATGACATCCTCAATACCCAACAAATAAACAAAGAGAAACAACCTAAAACCCCAAACTCAAGACAAAAATTCAATGCACAAATCGAAATGTACTTTTAAAAAGGGAAAAGAAAAGAAATTATGCATTCTGACAACAGGGTGTCTTAGCTGGATGTTCTTCAACATTTCTCTCTGGCATCAGGGAAGTTCTAAATATATATAAGTGTATTTTCTGCCCCGAAATAGTCCCACATTGAGTCACTTCTCCAAATAAGTCATGCAACATATCAGGGGGTGGCTGTGTTGTTAGTGTGGGAGGCATGGTTGATGGTTGTGGGGTAAAAATACCAGCACGTGTATTTGGATAAAGCTGGAGGTTTCTCCAAATGCTTTCCTCGCCGTGATTACCCCTCAATCCTTGGCAACAGCCCCCAGAGGTGGACAGGGAAGAGACAATCTCTCCCCATTTGACAGAGAGGAAAGCAGGGCCACACAGATGGAGCAATTTGCCCTAGGTCTCTGAGTGAGTTAGTGGGTTAGAACTCAGGCCTCTGTGAGACCCGGACGTGGCCTGGGCTACCCAAGTACCAGGCATGCATACACACAGCTACACACACATGCCTGCATACACATGCACACGCACACACACACAACATGCACACATACATGTGCACGCGCACACACACTTGCACATACACATGCACACAGGTGCACACACACTCTACCTGTGCTGGCTGTCACGGGCTGCAGCCAGACCGTGGACTTCAGTGTCACCACGGGGGAGGGAAGGCCCTTTACGGGGAAAGAAACGCAAGGGTTCCGGGTACCTAGAGGGGAGAATGGTTGGTGCCCTCTATCTCCCTGAAGGAGGGGTGAGGGGGACCTGCTGGGAGGCCACCCTGCATTGCTGGGGAGGACAAGGGTGTAGAGAGTGAGGGCTGAGTTGCTGGAGTCAGGTGCATCCCCTGAGAATCCATTGAAATGGGTTTGGCAATGTGCACTCAGCATAGAGAGCACCAGGAGCGATTTTTGGCACAACACAGGCTTTAAACACCAGCCAGAAACGGGATTAGAGGCTTTTCTGGTAGGTACTGGTGATAGAACTCAGGGCTGCTCTCCCACTGAGTTACACCCCCAGCCTTTTTAAGTCAATTTTATTTTGACACAGGGTCTTGCTAAGTTGCCCAGGCTGGCCTCAAACTTGGAATCAGCCTCCTTGCGATCCTGCCTCAGCCTCCAGAGTAGTTGGAATTAAAGATATGCACCACCATGCCTGGCTGGATGCTCCTCGTAGGACTCAGAGGTGTGCTCCAGGCTGGAGGAAATGGTGGCTCTGTGTGCACACCCCTGTGTTCCACACCTCATGGAGGATACCAGAGCATTTCAAGGGCCATCTTGGTTACAGGAATTTTCCCCTTAACAACTGCCTTTCCCTAGCCCCGAGTTTGGTATGATTTCTCTGTGAAGATCTGCAGACCGCAGGTCTCTGTTTCTTGAGGGTGTCTCAGCTAGGCTTTGAGCTTAGCATCCACATCAGCTGCAAGTCCACTGTGAGCACCAGACAGAAGTCTCAAGGAGAGAGGCAGCTTTCACTGGTGTGGGTTTCCAGAGTAAGCCTTGATACCTTCGCCGTGTGTGTAACTTTCCCCAGGACTCTTCCATCGACTTCCTGACTTGATTCTTACCAAGCAGAAAGTTAAGGGGGAGTGTATTAGAATCTCTTACTGACAGAGCTGGGAAGTGACTTTAGTCAGATAAAATATCAGCCCCAGTGGACCACAGATCCAATGGACTTTGGGTCACAGCTATCAGGAGCCAGAACGAAAATGTGAACATCAGGCACCAAAAGATAATTATCAGTTTCCTTGGGGGGGGCGCATGTAACATTGAGGGGTCATTCACTTACTTCCTTTCCTCTTGCACAGAGTTGGGGTGCCTCATTTCCATCAACGCACAGCCGAATTTCTGGAGGTCAAAACAGATGAGTGTGATGTGAAGCATGTGTATTAGTAAACCTACAGCGGAGTCAGGCTCAAGCTCTGGTATCCCAGCTGGTAAAAGAGAAGGCTGGAACCTGGGAGTCAGATGCCAGGGAAGGGCAAGACTCAGGTGGGCGGTGATGTTTAAGCTGCAGATGCAGCTCAAGGACAGCTGTTGAAGGAACTACAGGTGTGGACTCCCTACCTCTCCACACAACTCTCCTTCCTTCAGGGCCTCCTATCTATAAAATCATTGTCCCCTTGTCTGGAGCAGGGGATACCAAGCTCATGATTGGAGAATCCATTCTAAATAAGCTGCTCAGTTAGGTGACCTTTTCCCTAGGGACTGTTTGGCCAGTGGACGCCAATCGACTGAGAACTTGGAATCGTCCCATCTTTGTGTAACTTGGATCAAGTGGAAGTCACTGGCTTTGAGGCCATGGGAGGCTGTGCTTCTGACCAGGGAGGTGTAGGGGATGATCGCAGCCGGGATCTCCCTCCTTCTAGCTGCCAGAACTAGAACAGGAGAAAGTTCATCTCACCTCTCCGTTCTCAGGGGGGTCCCCATTGCCAAAGGTGCTGGTCACCACCAGGACCAGAGTTTCATGCTCCAGGTGCACAATGTCGTATTCCTCCATAGACATCACCTAGGAGGGTGGTGGCAGAGGCACGGGGTGGGCGAGAGGAGGGAAGGGGGTTGTGGGAAGAGGGAAGGGAAGAACAAAAGTAGTGGGGGAAAGAGAGGAGAGAGAAAGCAAAAAAGGGGAGTCATTTTGAGATGTCACCTTTGAAAGGGGAACCAGACATTCTGGGTAGAACTAAAAGCCACGGAGTAGCAAGGGTTCTGATGGTCACCATGGCCTGAGGGATTGTGGGGGTTTGGGCCACCGTCCAATGGTTTGCTGCCAGGAGAGAAATCCTGATAGAGCATCTGGGGCTTCTTACAATCCACTGTACTGGATTCTTCCTGACACCTTCAGGCTGGGATCCACCCATCCAGGTCTGCTCAGCCTCCTCTCTAACTCCGCCTGCACCACAATGGAGCCCCTGGGCCAAACAAGTGTGAGACACCTGCCTGGGGGAAAGATTGCTGCCCTGTGTCTTAGCATCAAAGGTACAACATTTCCCAAAGTAGGTTCTAAGGAGGTCCAGTCTCCTGCAGTGCTCCACAATAATGACTAATCCATGGTCAGATATGTTGGGGAAACACTCATGGTCTATCCTTTTCTCAGGGATATGGAGATTGTAATCTATGTTCATATATTAAAGGCTCTGAGAAGTCCTGCAGCAATGAAAACCATGGAGCTGTACTTAGTGTAGAGCATCCAAACTGACCCCAGAATGGTTTTGGGGTCCTGTGTTGCTGACATTTTTCTCTAGAGATGGGAACTTTGTTTGATGATTTCTGGACTAACAGGGAGGGGATATCACGGTTACCTAAAATTCACACAAATGTGTGTGTGTGCTCTGTATGCTTTCATCTCCCGTTAAAGGGTCTTCCCTGTTGACTTCCCCCTCTCCCCTTCCCAACTTCATTAGCTACAGAGGCCAGGGGAGCTGGCACTGCCCCTACCCACCTTGGCATCGAAGGCATGTTTGAAGATCTCACACAAGGTCTTGGCGTAGGCTTGCGATTTGCCTGTCTCTGTGGCGTAGAGAATGGTGGCTTTGACCCTCTTGGCCATGGCCTGCCCCATCAGCTTGGCCGAGAACTTGACGGCTCTGGGAGCGAGGTGGAGAGGAAAAAACGGGACACAGGAGGATGAGAGGAGATCAGGCTGAGACTTCCGGGCCAGAGCCAAGATCCAAGAACTTGGACAAGAAAGAATTTACTCCCTTGACCTCTGAAGGCTTGAGGGGTCCATCAGAAACACTCGTAGCTCCTGAGCTGAGACTCTGCACTAACTCCTTTATGAAATCCCCTAGGGCAGTGAGTCCTGAGTTTGGATTAATCATTGTTTTTTTTGTACCAGGGATCGAACTTGGGACCTTGCGCTTGTGAGGCAGGCGCCGGAACCACTGAGCTAAATCCCGGTCCTAATTGGTTAGTTTTGTTAGGTTGTTATTTGATTGCTTGAGAATGTGGTTTACCAAGGGCTGCCTTGAAGGCAATCATTCATTCATGAATATTTGTTGGGTGTCTACCCCTTGTGCCAGGCAGTGTTACAGGAGCTAAAGGACATAGAGATTACAGCTGTGGACAAGCAGGCGCCATGGGGCAGCTGTTTGTGTGTGTGTGTGTGTGTGTGTGTGTGTGTGTGTGTGTGTGGCTGAGAGACAGAGAAACAAATCATCAAGACATCACTATGTATCCAGCGAGCAAAAGTTTAGAGGTTTAAAGATCTTCGAAGGAATGGCCCCAGCTGGTTTATCCAGCAACACACATCCAGAGTCTTGCATGGACCCAGGCACTGAATAGACACTAAATTAATTTCTAGCAGAAGAAATTATGACGAAAAGATGCTACTACCTAAGCCCTGAGCCGTTTCAGTGTCAACCATAGCCTCTTTCCAGCTAAAAACAGAGAACCCCAAACCTCCCTCTCTTCTCCGGGCAGCACTGGGAGGCTCAGGAATACCTGGGTTCCTGCTCCTGGGCCGTCCTTCCTGTTCTCACTAGGAACCTCTGTGTAGACAAATTGCTAATTATCTCCCACCTGGGGCTTACTGGAGGTAAATGTATCATTTTTGAGAATTAGGCAAACCACCCACGCGGCAGGGAGGCGCTCAGCTAAGGGGAAGCTGGAAAGGATAAAAGTGCCTGGAAGCTTCTGGGAAGGATCCAAGCATAAATCGGCATCTATAATTAACTCCATTGTTCCCGCCCCCAACTTAATAGTGCAATTAATGTTTTAGATGAATCCTCCCTTCTTTTCCGGGAGACAGGGGAACTGAACGGAAGCCAGAGGTTGTCTCTGCTGAGGATATTCGGGATCCTCTGTTTAGGAAAGGGAGGTGCTGACGTGATCGTGGCTGGCGATAGAGCCCCGGGGGCCACGTTCACGGGGCCAGGACCTGTGAGGCTCACCAGGGTCTCATCTCTGGGGTCCACAGCACATGCAAGTTTGAGCCCAGCCTGGGCAATGTAGGGACTTCGTGAGACCCTGTCTCAAAATAAAAAAGGGCTGAATGGATGAGTAGATACATGAACGAGTGAGTGCAATTAGACTTGAGTGCTCCGTAGGCTGTGTGTGCAGGGGCTCACAGGTTCTAGTTCTGTCTGACTCTGGCCTCCTGACTTCCTGTTGAAATTTCCCATAGTGGGAATGTTTACACCACAGAAATTGGCAAGCATTACAAATCAAGGTATCACTGTGGCTGCTACCGGGACAGCTGGTTCCCCAACATACTGCTGCCTTCAGGACAACCTTTTAGGAAACTAGGGTCTGGAAGTAACCCCGAGAAGAGCTGCAGCAACATTCCCATCCCAGCTCAGGCAAAGGCAGCACGCGGGTTTGTCAGAGAGGTCAGAGGGCACAGCATCCGCCTGGGCCCCTTTTGTGGGGGGGGGTCTCTGAATTGGGGGTACCCTCACCCTCTGCAGGACACTCACTCTGCCAGCTTCTTGAAGCCGATGGCTCGTCGCTTGGTGGGGGTCCCATTGGTGCCTTTCCAGACGTGGGTGTTCCAAGGATCAGGCTGGGAAGAGAAGAACAGGGTCTGGTCACTGCCATGAGGGAAACTGGCCCCTCTGGGAGATGCCCAGGATTCCCTGGCTGCCCAAGCCTCAGACACGGTGGCTGCAGGAACCTTCCTGCGTCAGCCTGCCTATCCTTCTGCTCAGCTTTTGATTCCTCCCAAAGGAGCACTCTCCCTTCTTCCATGGTACTGGGGATTGAACTCAGGGCCTTTGCCCTGAGCTATAGTGCAAAGCCCTTTTTAAATTTTGAGACAGGGTCTCACTAAGTCCCTACGTTGCCCAGGCTGGGCTCAAACTTGCAGTCCTCCTGCCTCAGCCTCCCAGAGTGCTGAGATTACAGGCATGCACCACCAGGTCCAGCACCAAACTCTCTTCTTGCCCTCTCATTTTGTGTGCACTACTCCTTTAGCCAGACCTGTGCCACCCAACGCAGAAGCCACTGGCCACATGAGGCAATTAGGCACTTGTGTGTCCACAACGCCAGGTGGAGCCGAGATGCACTTTGAGCACCACACGCTCCGGACGTGGAAGGCCTGGTGGGAGAGAGGCAGGAGAGGACAGACCTGGTACTCGAAGCAGGGCGTGAGTCGATAGTTGAGCATCTCCTGGTGGAAGACGGGGGTGATACTGCCAGACATGGGGGGCACGATCCACACCCAGTCGGCTGGGCAGCCACCCCGACAGCGGTACTCATTCTCCATGTGCTTGATGAAGGACTCGGTGGCAGAGTGATGGTCAACGATGGTCACTTTGTCACTCTGTGAGAGGAGAGGGGACTATGAGACAGGGGGCAGAGGGGTAGGGGTATCAGGGCTCCCCCAGTAGAGTGGCATCTCCCCAAGGGGCCCCGGAGACGATCTGTGCAGTGTTAAGCAAGGCAGAGCTCTGACCACATTGTGATCTCAGTCCCCCCCTCTGCACCCAGGGAGACCTCTGGGTGGCCATGGGTCTCTGACACTTTTCTCACCAGCCCTGCCCATCTTCCTTCCTTCCCGGGCCGCCCCCTGTTCTTTAATCCCAGGGAGGAGCTTCAGATGGTAATAACCTCGACTCAGACAACTTGGTTTTGTTTTCCTTGCGTTTGTATATTTATTTAGTGTTACAATCACCTTTTATTTATGGCCACTGGTAGGGGTTCTTCATTTATAGGGGTGACAAACCCTTGTAACATACAAAGTTTTAAGTCGTAAAGATGAGTTGATTAAAAAGTAAAACCAGTCAAAAGCTGCAGAAGTGGTGATGGAATGTCTGGGGCGTGGTATGGTTGGCAGAGTTTGGAATCATATGTTGTCTTCTACTTCCATCCACAAAGCCTTACCCCTTTTCACACATTTCCCTCTCCCCCTCCCTTCCCCTTCTTTCCCTCTTCCTTTGTCTGGTACTGGTATTGAACCCAGGGCCTTCATACTGCGTTACATCCCCAGCCCTTTTTATTCTGAGATAGGGTCTTGCTAAGGTGCCCAGGCTGGGCTCAGACTTGTGATCCTACTGTCTCAGCCTCCTAGAGTGCTGGGGTTACATTCTTTTTAAATCACTCATGTCACATACATCCTTGCTGTCTCTGGTTCACTATCTTCATTCTGGTCCACAGAGAGCCAAGCCATTTCAACAACATCTCAAAGATCAGGGAGGTGGCTTTTTTCCCCCTTGCCCTGTCTGAACTTGTGTCATTGCTGTGACATCCTTCAGTGTACCCACTTCTCTTCCCCCTCCTGATATGGGGACTTTATGGTTAAGATTAAGATGTATCCATAAGCTCTCATGTGACCCTAGGTAGGGCTTTTGGAAGGTGACTGGATTACAGGAACTGACTTGCTATTAGGAGGTAGGGTCAGGGGCATGGCCTGGAAGGGTCCCTCACCCCTCCCTTCACTTTCTACTTCCTGTCTTCCATGCCTGGAGCAGCTCTTCTCTGTGATGCCCCTCTGCCATGCTGTCCTACCTTGGAGCCAGCCAACTACAGACTGAAACATCTACAAACTGTGTGCCCAAATAAACATTTTCCCCTTTAAGTTGTAGGAGTCGAACATTGTGTCTCAGCGACAATGTAAGTAACTAAGTAGGGACCTGTGGTTTCCCCTGCTATCCATCCCTGGTTGTTTGAGCCTTGCTTATCCTACTGTCTGTGTGGCCCTTGTGGACATCTATGGGGACCTAGCTGCCCATATGGGACACTCCCCCTCCAAGGACAGAGCTGGTATCTATGACAGTGATCTCTATTCTGTAGGTCCCTGCTTTGCAAAAACCAGAGACGCCTGGTTTCTGCCTGTTGTCCTAGCGTGATTAACAGTGTCTTCCTTGTGCTGTCAAAGTGTCATGGGGTTAAATGATGATTTTTCTGGCAATCCTATTATAAGGTCCCTTATCACGGGCCTCTATGGCCCTGGTCATGAGGATGAGTTTTCATTTCTGTTATGTTACAGTTTGAGAGTCTGATCCCTGACATGACAAGTCACAGAGGACACGAGTCATCCCAATACTAGAGTCAGAAGCAACAGGTCATAGCCCGCCTTTCCCCAACACCTATTCATCTGTCACCAAATGGTCCCCACCCAGACCCAGGAGACAGGGGGGCAAGTGGGCAGCAAGCAGGTTCTGCTGGGGGCAGACTCCCCCTGCAGGTGGTTCCTGGTAGCTCCCTCTCCTGACCCTCTGCTCCGAAGCCCTGGAAGACTTCTGCTCCGGCTGGGCTTGGGCTGCCAGGCCACCCAGTGCTACCTGGAAGCTGAAGAGGACGGCAATGTTGATCTCCACCAGCGCCTGGTCCTTCCACAGTGAGGACGTCTTCCTCATGTCCAAGTTCATCTTCTTGGCTACTTCCTGCAAGGGGGAAGGAAACACAGACTCACAGGCTGCACACTACAGAGGGACAGAGCTGGGTCATTCTGGATTTCTCAACGACCTCATCAACTCATTCATAGGCCGATCAAATCCCTACTTTGCTCAAAAGAATTTTTAAAAATTGAGACCCTATAAGCAGCAGGAAACTAGAAACTTGGCTACTGACTCTTTAATTATTAAATGTACTTTTTAATGGAAGAGGGAGACAGTTAAATTGTGAGAAATGCTAATGCCTAGGAATGAAGGAAGAGATGGAAATGGGAGGAAGAGGGATGGGGAACTGGTTTGATTTATCAAGGGCTGCCAGGGCATGGTCCCTGTGGAGAGGAGACACAAGGTGAGAGGCCTAAGTGATGAGAAGAAGCAAGACATTTGCAGATGTGGGGAGGGGATACTGGAGGCAACGAGAACAGCAAGTGCAAAGGCCCTGGGGTGGATCTGGCTTGAGCCATTTAAGAAACAGAAAGAAGGTCAGTGTGCTTGGGGGGTGGTGAGCAAGAGGGTGTTGGTGGGACAGAGAGGGACTGGATGATGTAGGACCCTGAAGGTTATGTCAGGGAGTCAGGATCTTATTATATATTTATTACACAGGGTCCTTGAAGGGTTTTAAGCAGAGTTAGGTCTGGGGTGACATCACTTGCTTCCCAGTAGGAAAAGCTCCCCTGGTTTGTTCTACTCCCCACCTCCAGTGGTCATTACTTAGACTCTAGACCAGCGATGGCGAATCTTTCAGAGCTTTCAATTGATACAAACAGCCCTCTGCAGCATGCATGCTGTAGGTTCGCCACCACTGCTCTAGATCGTGGGCTTTGATTTCACAGGGACACCTTCTGGACTCCACCTGACAACTGGGGAAACTGAGACCCAGAGGGTGTCTGAATCTGTCCCAGGTCCAGAGAGCCTATGGGCCTTAGTAGTGAAGTCCAGGGGATGCCTGCTATCCAAGATCCGAGCGCCACCTCCTTCCCAGCTGACACCTCTGGCAAAACAATTCGAACAGAAACAACTCTTGAGATGCAGGCTCTCCAGATGTCAGGAGTAGAAAGACCCAGTATCAGTTTCCTTCATTAAAGCTTGGCTTTTCTCTTCCTCTGGCAATGCCAGTCAATGGGGGGACCCAGGTCTCCTTACAGGGCTGGAGTGCAACGATTTCTCAGGTTTGGGAAAACTGCTTCCAGCTCCAGCTGTCACTGTTTGTATACAATGGCAGCTGGGCTCGGAGGGCTGGGAGAATCTCACTGAGGTTAGCCGGTGACTTTGCAAGGGAAATGTATGCAGAGCTCAGAGAGCAGACAGCTTAATTCACTCTTTGAGGCTGAGGCTTTGGGACCTGACCTGATCAGTGATGCATTTGCGGGAAGAAACTCGGCTGCTGCTTCGCATCAATTCATACAAAGCCCGAGCGAGTGTGTGAAAGAGGAAAGTGTTTGTAGCCAGCCTTGCAGTGATTGCTATTTTATAGCATTAGTTTGATTACAAAGAGAAAAATTGGTTGCAGAAAAAATATATAAATAGAAAATAAATCCCCCAGGGCAACTTGAGTCCCACCTATGGCAACGGCTCAAAATATCTTTCCTTTTCCAGCCGGAAGTTAGTATGGCTTGGCAGCTGCACAGCAGAATCTACCACGGAGCTTCGAAAATTGCTGGTGCTTAGACCCCAACCCACCAATACCATCCGATCCTGGGGATCCTAAAGCTTCTGAGGTAGCCCCAAGGTTTGGCAAGGCCAAGGAGCCCTGGTATCTGTTTTCCAGGGTGGCACTGGTGCATTTTAATAACATAAACTTAATGCTTGGCCCTGAGTTCTAATCTATCTTATTTACTGTGAAACACAGGTCTAGCACTTCACCTCTCTGTTTCTCTGTGTCCTCTTTTGAAACAAAGCCAATAGCGACAGACTTTGCTGTGGACATTTACTGGCAGAAACAGCAATCCTAAACACGGCTTGGTGGTGTGCTTTTGCAATCTCAGGACTTGGGAAGCTGAGGCAGGAGGACTTCGAATTCAAGGTCAGCCTGGGCTACAAAGTGAGACTGTCTCAAAAACCCCAAAACGCAAATCAAACCAAAATACAGCTATTTTGATGCTTTCACCAAAGCCACGCTTCGGAAAGCTCTGTCCTGGGACTCTAGTAGATAAGAATGGGCAGACAAAGAGAAAATTGGACTCTCCACAGAGAAATGCCACATGATCTTGAGTTCTGACACTTGATCCCTCCAAAAGGCCTCAGTTTCTTCATCTTTAAAGTGGGATTATTGTACCTCAAAGTTATGGCAAGGATTAAAAAGGAATGTAACACAGTGGGTTCTGAATGACTGAGAAACAATAACTTGGGTGAATCTCACAGATGTTATCTTGAATGAAAGAGACCAAAACAAACAAACAAAAACATGCTGCACTGACATTATTGACAGCCAGCCCTCCCTATTCTTGGGCTACACATCCACAGATTCAAACTACCTTGGATGGAAAATATTTGGAAAAAAAAGCTACATCTGTACTGACCATGTACAGACATTTCTTGCTGTCATTATTCCCTAAACCATATAGTATGACAACTAAGTACATAGCATTTACCTTGTATTTGATTTAAGGTATATGGGAGAAAAAATAATAAAGTATACTGGAGAATGTGCTTTGGTTATATGCAAATATGATGCTTTTTTATATAAAGGGCTTGGGCATCTGTGGATTATTTTACTTTATTTTTGCAGTACTGAGGATTGAACTGGGGCGGGGGGTGGGGTGGGGGAGCTTTGCACGTATCTCCAGCCCTTCTTAAATTTTAAATTTTGAGACAAGGTCTTGCTAAATTGAGAAATTGCCCAGGCTAGGCTCAAACTTGTGATCCTTCTGCCTCAGCCTACCTGCGTGCCTTCATCTAGGGGTCTGCATATCTGTGGAGGTCCTGGAATGACCAGCTACAGACACGGGGGATGCAAAGTATTTAAACAGCGCCAAAGTACTGGCACTCGGTATGTCCTGTGGGTGGTGCTCACCATTGTTCTCATTGCATAAATTCTGCTCCAACCCTTCTGGTTTCCAAACCCCAAAGCTCAGCTGTGAGCCAGTGTGCTCTGCCTTAAGCTCATCTCTTTGGGGACCAGGGAGGGCCTCACCTCCAGGATGTTGTAGCGAGAGCTGTCACAGTAGTCTCGGACGCCGATCTCGGTGCCCATGTACCAGCCGCTGAAGGGACAGGCGCTGAACTCCAGGCCGCCGACCTCCAGCAGCATGTTGGACACAGCAGGGAGGCCGTACCACTTCAGGCCCAGGTCCTTGAACCAGTCAAACCTGGGGAGAGTGGCGCAGCCCAGCTCAGCATGGACAGGTGCCTCCTGGGTGCACCAATGGGTGGGATGTCCTTCCTCTGGGGTTGCTGATATGGGGGACTGAACGGGCCTATGTCTGGATCTGATTTTGTGGAATGCTGGGGCCCAAGAACATGCATTTTAAACACAAGTTTCCCAGATGATTCAGGTGGACATCCAGGCCTTGCAACTACTGTCTTGAGCTGCTAGTGGTCTACCAAACCTATCCTGAGAGCGAGCACACGTTGCTCCTCTCTACCCCAGGGCCTTTGTACAAGCAGTTCCTATTCCTGGGGTCTTTTCTCTTCCCTGTGTTTACATCTCTTACCTAACTCAGCTAAAATGCTGCTCACTCTGGGAAAACCTCCCCAATGTGCAATTGGGGCCAGGTGACTTCCTGCTCCTAAGCAGCAGGAAATTTCCTTTGCAGCACTTTATTGGGATTAATTATTGAGTCATTATATAGTACGTGTAAGAGCCGCTTCTTTTGGAGACAGGAAAACCACATAGTCGAGGACGAAGTCAGCCTTGAAAGTCAGCACAGTGCCTGCCTGGAGTGGAGACAATAAACTGTTGATTGAGCCAACTAATGAATGAATGAAGGCCAAGTGTCAGCAAGGAGACTGGCTGTGTTCCTAGATACTGGGCAGCTTTGGGAACCTCAAGACACTCGCTTCCGGTCCAGGGCCGGGAGGAGGTTGAGGCATGTGGAACTCTAGTCTTTGTGCAAAATTTAACTGATAACCAACAGACTCAATAATCAACATCAAAACTACTATTTATTTATGGAACACTTTGAATTAAGACAATTTTTTTTAAAAAAACAAACAAACCAGAAATTAATGCCATCAGAATACATGTGACAAACAAAATACCAAAGCTCTAGACAGACAGGGCCCTGCCTGGTGATTTACTTTGAGCTTCTCATGCTGGATTCTGTAGTTATTTAAAATGTTGCTATATAGCTCACCACAGACTTTGTTTTTTGGTACCGGGGATCAAACTCAGGTCCTTGCGCTTGCGCAGCAGGCGGCGAAACCACTGAGCTAAATCCCTGGCCCCTCACCATAAACTTTTAAAAATTAACTTTGATTTTTAAAAAATGCCTTGCGTTCAGACATTATTGATCCTATTGAGTTTTCAGCAACTCTTTCGGTCAGTCCCAGAGTCTAGCGCCCGGCTACAGCTAACGCTGCCTGTGCTGCTGGCCTCGGCCTTCCCAGATCCTTCCCGGAGTCAGATTCCCTTTGGAGCTGCGTCCCCGGGCCAGCAGGGTTTTGAGTGGATTTCTCTAATGCACGTTTGTGCTGCAGCAAGACAGCAGGAGGCTCTGACCTGCCAGTCCTGAGGGCTGGGCAGAGCCCCGTCACGGGTGACTGCTCTCAGAGGTGAGGAGGGGAGAATCTGATCCAGACAGAGGGCGCTGCTGGGTGCCAAGGAGAAGGGGCCCACCCTGCCCGGCCAGCAGCAAGGACAGGAACCGAGACTTCTTTGGAGCCTGGGCAGAGGGCGCCCTGGGCGGGCCCTGTCCCCCGCCCGAGTCCCGCTTACTTGGGGTGCCTGATGGGCACTTCCAGCACCAGCTCGGGCGGGATCTGGAAGAGCTCGGGGTCATTCCCATTGGCCTGGAGCAGGAGCGGCAGGACATCGAAGCGGCACCTCGGAGGTTTCCAGCCCTGCTGGATGCATATCTGCAAAGACACCGCCAGGGGGCGTCACCGCCCGGGAACCCCGAAAGCGACAACTTTTTTGGTTTTTTTTTTTTTTTTTTTTGGTACGGGGGACCGAACTCGGGTTCTCACGCTTGCAAGGCAGGTAGCAGAACCACTGAGCTAAATCCCCGGCCCGAAAGCGACAACTTGATGGCATGTGGGGCCCTCAGAGGCCGGGAGGACCCAGGCTGGGTGGGTCTGACTAATCCTCTGTCCGAAGGCGACGCAAGAGACTTTAAGATGTCCGACTTTGATGAAAGCCACCGTGGAAAATGCCTGTGGCAGGGCGGGTGCCCCATAGAATACAGTAGTAAGAGCCACACAAGTAAGTAGAAATTCCTGGTGGCTCCATTAAGAAAAAACCAAGGGATTAAAATAATTTTACTAACATATTTCTTTTTTGTTGTTTGTTTCAAGACAAGGCCTTGACGGGCCGGGGATTTAGCTTAGTGGTTCTGCCACCTGCCTCGAAAGCGCAAGGACCCGAGTTCGATCCCCGGTACCAAAAAAAAAAAAGAAAAAAAAAAGACAAGGCCTTGCTATGTAGTCCAGGCTGGTCTTAAACTCATGACCTTCCTGACCTAGCCTCCAGAGTGCTGGGATTACAGCTGTGTACCACCACACCTGGCTATTTATTTTGAATAATGAATTTTAAATTCAACATATACTTTATGTGAACATTTATTTATCACTAATATATTAAAGTATTACTATAAGAACCAAGATGCATTATATAAAGGTACAATTCCCAATGAGAAATGTAATTGTGTTGTATACCTACAATGTACCAATAAAAGAATTTAATACCAAAAAAAAAGTGTTACTATCAACATATTTTAATCATGTATTAGACAATTAAATATTTAACATTTATTTATCTAATATATATCAAATAGGTATAGTATATAACATTTTGAAAAACACTAAATATTAGTATTAGTTCATTAATGCTATATATTATTAATATGAATATATTCAAATAATATAGTTAACGTTAAACTAATGTTTTAATTCATTAATCCAGTAAGCTTATTAATTTATTGATATATTAATCTACTACACCCACATTATCGTTTCAACATGTAATCAACACGAGAATTAGCCATGAGCTATTTTCCACCGTTTTTCTGTTCTTAGTTTTGGTGATCTGGTGTGTATTTTCACTGGAATTTGAACTAAGTTTTTGGTTTTGGTACTGGATTGAACTCAAGGCCTTCGCCCTGAGCTACATCCCCTGCTCTTTTTGTTTTCTTTTCTTTTTATTTTGAGACAGGCTCTCTCATTAAGTTGCTACTTTGCCAAGGCTGGGCTCAAACTTGCAACCCTCCTGCCTCAGCCTCACCGAGTGCTGAAGCAGCTACATTTGAATTTCTCAAGAGGCACAGGCGGCCAGGGGCTGCCCTTTGGACAGCACAAGATTAGAGGGTTTCTGGGGTATAATTATGCGGCAAGGGTCAGGATGATTCTGCATGCCATGCTAGTGTTCTGGCTCCTGGCCCCAGGAGAACAGGTCCTGGTCAGCGAAGGTTCTGGTGCCAGAACGAAGGAGACTGTGGTTATGTTCTGCTAACCCTGAGCAAGGTCAGCCAAGTACACTGTTAGTGCTCAGCCAAGTGGGGCAGAGAGTTTGGCTGGGCCTTAAACTGCACAGGTGCAATCCTGGTCGCCCTGGTTACAGCCCCCTCTGGATAATCACATTTCCATAAGAAAAGCTTGGAAGTTGGCAGGCAGTGAGGAGGGGCGGGGGTCCCCAGGCTTGGGAGCTGGGTCTGGTCTGGAGGAGGCACAGGGTGGGTTGGAGGGGGTTTGTGGAAAGGACCAGGAGCAGCTTGGCTGGGTAACAGAGGAGAGGTGGTGCCAGGTGTGGGGTCTGCCTGTGTGTCCCCTCGGACACAGTCCCATGTCTCACCTGTAGTCTCTGTTGGTGTAAGGAACGGGCAGGAAGATAGTGGTGTGTACTCTGCTAGTAGCTTTTAGGAATGGACACAGCTACCAGCAATGTTGGTGTGTGGTGTCAGGGGGAATCAAGCCACCAAAATTGTTGCATGAACTTAGGAATGAATGATAGGAGTTGGACATAGCACCTAGTTGAGGAAAGGTGGACTACAGGCCTGGTTTCATCTGTCACCTCCTGGTGGGAGGCAGGAAATTTGTCCCGTGGTTCTAGCTTTTCCTTTACTCACTTAATGAATAGCTTTGTATAACTCACCTGGCTTTGGTGAGAATCAGTGTACTCAACTATGAAATGGGGGGAGAAAAAGAAAAAGAAAGAAAAAAAGAAATGGGATAACAGCTTCCATCGGGAGGGTTGGGAGAGGTCACAGCAGGAAAATGACCAAATGCTCAGAGATAGAAGAACCAGAAGACAGTGGGGGGTTGGACAGCCCAGAGGAGGTACAGGTGTGGAGAAGGGGCCTGCTCCCAGCCAGCTGCTCTCCCCGGGAGGGTAATGGCAAGTGAGAAGCGGTCTGTGGATAAAGAGCTTGGGGATGTGAGAGCCCGGGTGGGGGGCACATGCAAGCTCGCACCTCTGTGAATGCCACATTTGCGGGGTCCCCCAGGATGGAGCCGTCAGGCTGCTTGTAGCCGGCGTAACGGATGAGCTGGGAGTTCCAGACTCGGAAGTCGTGCTTGCCGTCCATCCTCTGGGGAAATATGGTGATGGCTGACCTGCAGGGGACACACGGGACACCTGTATCAAGCGTGGTCTTGCACTCTGGGGATACACAGGAAAAGGTGCTGCCGGGTCAGCAGCTGCTAGGGGCTCCGGCCGGAGCACATCTGTGCCACCGTCCCCAGGGCCGAGTGAGCAGCTGTGAGAGGGAGGGTCCTCAGCCGCTCCTCCACTGGGACCCTGGGTCTGTGCAAGGCTGGAGGTGGGGCGGAGCCAGCCCGCTGGAGGGAGGAGGAGGCTCCCTGGGCCAGGGACTTTATGACAATACTGGCACAAGCCAGCCTTCCAGCGAGTGCTTTAGCAGCCAGTGGTCTCCAGGGATCCGTCAGAGCCTGTCCTCCACCTTGCTTGACTTTTGAGACAGGGTCTCAATGATGCAGTTCAGGTGACCTCGAACCCATGGCACTACACCTGCCTCAGCCTCTGAAGTGCTGGGATTACCGGTGTGCATCACCATGCCCAGGCATGGGTCCTGTTAACAGCACACTATGGGTTCCCAGCTCCAGTCTTCCTCCTATGACCAGCATTCACCTGACACCCTGAATAGAGCCTCTAGACTTAACCCACCTCACCTGCTCTTAGGTAACCTCCAACCACCTTTTCCCAGCCTCAGTGCCCAACTGTCCCCAAACCCTATCCTCAGGGAGCCAGAGACCTACTCTCCTGCCTCCACATGTGGCTACCTTTCTTTTTCTTTTGGTACCGGGGATCTAACTTGGGGTTCTTGTGCTTGTGCAGCAGGCGGCAAAACCACTGAGCTAAATCCCCGGCCCCCTACCTTTCAAATAGACTCTTTCTCTTTTGCAAAACTCAGTTTGGTGATTAGCATACTCCACGGTGGGCAAAATGGGCCTGGCTCAATAACATTCTCACCCAATTCCCCTCCCCTTGTACCACACCAAAGTTTACAGACTTCTGATGAAAAAGAAATCAGCTTGCATTCACACACACATTTGTTTAAGAGAAAATTGTAGGTTGGCAGCCGCTGGCTTCACCTGCCTACATAAGGAATCGTGGATACTGATTCTACAATTAAAGGGTTTGAAGCTGTGGTTGCTGGTCTCTTTCTCTCCTCCCTCTCTAATAATTTTATTACTGCATGTTAATATTTCATGATGATGGGCTTTATTTGGGGAGGTTGGTACATGGATTTAACATACGTTAATCCATTTCAATCCCATTACCCTTCTTTCTTCACCTTCTCTTGATGGAACCCTTCCCCATCTCCAGAAGTCTGCCTCCTAGTTTTCTATCCTCTCTCTTTTATTTTAGCTGTCTATTAATTTGTGTATTTTAAGGCAATACACCACATGGATAACATCAAAGATAAAAATCACATGAATATCCTACTAGATGCTGACAAAGCCTTTGACAAAATCCAACAGCCCTTCATGATAAAGACCCTACTGAACATAGGTGTAGAAGGCCCTGACCTTAAAATGATAAAAGTCGAATATGACAAGCTCACAGCCAATGTCATACTGAATGGGGAAAACCTGAAAGAATTCCCTCTAAAATCTGGAACCAGACAAAGGCATCCACGGTCACCACTCCTGTTCAGTGTGGTTCTTAGAAGTGTAGCCTCATCAACAGGCAAGGGAAAGAATTAAAAGGGATACAAACAGGAAAAGAAGTCAAATTATCCCTATTTGCAGATGATGTGATGTGATATAAGGGAGAGCACCGAGTGTTAGGAGAGTGTGAACAATAGCACCAAACTTTTCCGTTCTCCTTGGCATAGTGTAAAGATCGAGAAGAGAAAAAAAGAAAGGAGAGTAACTTTTCACTATGTGCTGCAGGGTCACCTGTTTCACGCCGGGGGCTCCTGCCACCTGGAGTCATCTGTCCCATTAGGGACTGAATCCCAGGGTCTGGGAAGCTCCATCTTGGTTTCTTATCTTAGCACATCTTAAATTCAACTCATAGCCATGGATCTTCTGCCACATGCATTCCTGCAGGAATCCCTTGCTGTTCCCTGCCTGGAATCCTTATCTGTTGTCAAATACCACATTCGATTTAAATTCCCTTTCTGCATACAGCATCCCCTGTCTCACTGAGTTCACAGAGCTGTCTTTCTGAATGCAGTTTTTAGATCTTACCCTTTATACAAGAGAATGCAGTGTTTAATCCTGCAGGGCTGGGGTGTCACATTTGGAGGTGAGTTTAGGGCCAGGACTTAAGGTGAACATCACAATGTCAAAAGTGTGCTTAAAAATCTCTTGGTTATTTGGATGTGGTGGTGCATGCCTGTAATCCCAGCACTCGAGGGGGCTGAGGCAGGAGAGTTGCCATAGTGAGTTCAAGGCCAGCCTGAACTATACAGCAAGAACCTGTCTCAAAAAACCGAAATAAAATAGAATAAAATAAAATGAAATTTAGCAGGGAGGATTGTGAATTTGAGTCCAGCCTGGGCAATTTTGTGTTTTAGCAAGACCCTATCTCCAAATAAAAATAAATAAATGAAAATAAAAAAGAGCTGCGAATGAGCTGAGTATGAAAGCACTGGGTTCAATCCCCAGTGTTGCAAAAAAAAAAAAAAAAATCTCTTAGCAAAAGGCTCAGCACCATATTGAAGGTAAACACAGAATGAGTCAAATGGTTTGTTTCCTGGCATTAAGACATATTGCTGTGTCTTTTGTTGAACACCAGATAAAGCTTGTTTGTGTAATACACACATAGATTTTTAAAAGTATGTTTAGAAATACCAGAATCACAAAAGTGAGTGGGCTGGGAGGCTTATGCCATGAGTGGGGATGGAGGCCAATGGAAGACACTGAATGTACCTATGCCTCGCACCTCCTTACTCCTCCATGCACAATCTCACTGGAGGGCAGGTTGAATGCGTTATGCTATTTAAATTATGTAGTCCTCTTCTCTTTGACCATCCTCCCTCTCTTATGTAGAAACTATTTCTACACCTGGTAAACATTCTTTATGCCTCTCATCATTTTCAGATATGAGGTTTAAACTTGAAAACAATCAGCTGAATATTTTTGTTACAGATCTCATGGAAATTCCCTACTAGATATTTGAAAGGAGGGGAGAGGCACTGCCAGCTCTGGAGTGACTCCCTCCTATCATCTGTCACAGCATGGTTTGAAAACCACCAGGATAGTCCATAGGCTCTGCCATGGCTAAAATCTGAAGCATGCCCCAAAGACTCACGCAGTGAGGGCTCGATCCCCATGCAGCCATGTTCAGAGGTGGGGCCCACAGAGGTGACTGGATCACAAGGCTGCTCACTTCACCAATGGGCTAATACACCCATGAGCTCATAGCTGAGTGGGCTGTTAGGAGGTGGGGTCCCTCTGCAGGAAATGGATGAAATGGACCATGGGGTTGTGACCTGGAGGACTAAGCTGTATCTGGTCCCTGTCCTTTCCTCTCTGGCTCTTCTCTCACTCTCTGACTCCTGGCTGCCATGAGGTGAGCAGCTTTCCTCTACCACACCCTTCTGCCATGCTATTTCTGCCTTGGATCGAGCTGACCATTGACTGAAACCTCTGAAACCATGAGCCAAAATAAACCTCTTTCCTTTAAATTTATTTTTCTCAGGCATCTAGTTACAGTGATGGAAAAGATCTCCTTGAGGGTTTGCTTTGACAAGACTCTCCAAGAGTGGTCGGGTATGGGGATATTTCAGCTAAGAGTGCTTGGGAAAGAGACTTAACCATGGATTTCTCACATAGGCTGTTCCCTCCTGGTGGATCAGACAACTGGCAAACACCATCCAAAAAAACCCATGCTTAACGTGAACAAGCTGCTTGTAGATGAGCTCAGAGTAGTAGCGTGGGGAGGTTATGGGACTGTCTCTGAAGTGGCCCTGTGTGTTCAGAAGATGGGGCTGGGCTTCTGTGGCTGAGAACAGACACTGGAGCAGCAAAGAGCAGGCAAGGCTGACAAGTGTAGCCAGCTGTCTGAGGCGTCCCAGCTGTTCCTGCAAGGCCAGGCAGCCGCAGCCCATACCATGCCTCTCTGTACTATATCCTCAACTCCTTGTAATTTTTAATTTTGAGACAGGGCCTTATTAAGCCACTGAGTTGCCCAGGCTGGGCTCGAATTTGTGATCTTCCCGCCTCAGCCTCCCAGAACGTTTTTTTGTCCTTATGTTGATACAAGGAGTCCAAAGTGTGGCTTGGCTGGCTGGGACATGAAGGAGCTGTCCCCACACCAGCAGGAGGAGACACTGACTTTGAAACCCAGGGAGATTCACAGGCAGCTCCAGGCAATAGAGCCTGATGGGGTAAAAGCAGGTCATTCCCTGTGCTGGGATTTTCCTCTTCCCGGGAATCTAAAGGATTTCCTCTGGCCTTCTTCCTGGAGGCTATAAAACTGAGAGGGGGTGAATGTGATCTCTGTGTCCGTAGTTCTGCAAATCACGTGGGAGTCTGCTTCTTTCAGAAGAGAAGGAATGCAGGGGGTGGGACAAGTAATGCCAGGTCACCCCTCCCAGTGTGGTCTGACACCGAGAGAGGGAACATTTCCCTGGCAGCGGAGGCAGCTCCAGGCCTGGGGACATCGGACCCTTTCCCACCCGAGTGGCTCAGCGCACCTGAGGTTCCCTTTGTTGGTGGCATACTTGATGTGGTTGCAGATGTAGTTGAACATCCCATGCGCTGTGGTGCAGTCGCGGGCATCGAACACCTGGAAGAAGTGTGTGGGGATCAAGGGCCTTGTCCCCCCTCCCACAACCCCAGTGCAGTCTGCCCATTTTAGGAGAATCCAGAACCCCACTGGAGTCACGAGCATTTCATGACTGAGGTTCAGGCTGCGTTTTATTATTTTCTTTAACCTATGCTAATAACCAAGGTCAATCAGACCAGGAAAAGTCCCCTAAAAAGTAGGCATGGATTATGAGTGAATGGGAAAAAGGGTAGGAGTAGGAGTTTGAATGGGCTGGTTACATTTCCTGTTAGGTTACTATGGATAGGGATTAAAAAAACAAAGAAACAAATCAATACCTCCCATCCTGATAACTAATGTACTTACAATATTAAATTGTTCCCTAGAATAAAATCATAGCAGGGGAAATAAACTAATGTCTTCATGGAGTAGGCAGAGAATAGAAATAAGCCAAGTAGAGCCAAGGGAGTGGTAGGGTCTATGGGAAACTGGAGAGCGTAAATTCTACCAAGAAATATGAAAATTCATGTAACAAAAAGCAGCATTGGCTAATCAGACATGGCAACAGCCAGAATTTGGCTATGATCTGAGGATCTGGGATCTGGTAGGTCACTATGGCCAATAGGTAAAAGGATTTGACCTTTTTCAAAGCTCCATCTCTCCCCTTCCCCTTCTCCCCCACCAAAAGGTCTTCCAGGCCTCTGAGCCTCACCACCCACCTGCAGCTTGGACCACTGGATCCTGCCAACGCAGCGGGCGGCATTCCGCCAGGCATGTTTGGCCCCATAGATGAGCTCTGTGTCCTTGAGCTGGTAGGTGCTGGTGCTTTCGATCTCCTTGTTCACCTCTTCCAGCCTGTCCATGTGAGCTTTGGAGCCAAATCTAAGTGAGGACAGAAGGGGCATGGGAACATCACTGCTATAGTTTGGAAGGGTCTCCCAAAGTCCCATATGTGAAATGTTCAGTGACCATCCCGTGGTGCTGTTGGGAGGTGGCTGAACCTTTAAGAGGTGGGGCCTAGTGGGAGGAAGTTAGGTTATTGGGGGGCATGTTCTCAAACAGGATTGGGTGACTCAGCCCCTTCTTGTCTCTCTCTTTGCTTCCTGGCTGCCATGAGGTGAGCAGCTTCCTCTGTTACACACTCCCACCATGATGTATTGTGCTGCCACAGGCCCCAAAGCAACAGGGCCAGGCAACCAGGGACTTAAAGGTCCAAAACTGTAAGCCAAAATGAAACTTTTCCTCTTTGTAAGTTGACTCTTTCAGGTATTTGATACTATGACAGAAAGCTGACAACACCATCACCTTCTCTTCTGAAGTAGAGGTTGGTGGAAGGGACAAGATATCACAGGAAGCCACAGCCATAGAAACCCCCAAGTTGACATCAACACACAATAGTTTGAGCATAAAGCAGGCACTGTACACTCAAATGCCATAAAGCCCTGGCAGTGCACACAGGATAAACTGGCTGGGTGAGGCCTGTGTCAAACAGACAAATCAGGTCCCCAGGGGGCAGTCAGGACTCCAATCCAGCTGACCATCCGTTTGACAGGAATGGGGACCCTGGGCTGCCAGATCACATTCAAGGAAAACTGGGAATCTGATTTCTAAAGGGAATTCCTCTAAGTTTTAAATGTTGGCAATGCATTCAATTTTACCTTCACAAGGAAGTATACAGGACAATAGAATGACACATCCATCCTCAGGCTAAGAAAGGATAATATAGTTTTGTGGGCATGACGTCCCTCTCATAGCCTGCTCTCCTTAGAAGTTACTGTTATCTTTTTTTGTTTCTTTGTGGTACTGGGGATGCACCCCAGGGCCTTTCACATGCTAGGCAAGGGCTCTACCACTGAGCTACACTCCCAGCCTTATTTATTTATATTTTGGTGTTGGGGGTTGAACCCAGGCCCTTGTGCATACTAAACACATGCTCTGCAACTGAGCTACATCCCTAACCCCTCAGATTTTAGATTTTCAGGTTAGGGAAAAAGTCTATGCAAACATTCTAAAATCTGAAAAATACTTTGAAATCTGAAAAACTTCTGGTCCCAAGCGTTTTGGATAAAGGATACTCAACCCTATACTCCATCACTGGAATACCACACCTTATTTACCCTTCTCCTACTGATGGAGCTGAGGTGGTTTCCTGAAGGTTTTAAAAAAAATTTTAAATTACTTAAAAAAATTTTGAAACAGTCCTGTTAAGTTGCCCAGGCTGGCCTTGAACTCACGCTCTTCCTGCCTCAGCCTCCTGAGTGATTGGGATTTCAGGCATGCACTACCTATGAACTTTCTTTGTGATTTTTTTCCTATGATAAATAATATTTCTGTGAATATGACTTCTTATAAACAGGTATAAGCTTTCTAGGTGTAGAATTGCTGGAAATGTTTCAATGTGGGGGAGGGTTGGAGTGAATACAGGGCTTTTGTGTTGAGCTACAACACCAGCTCTCTTTATTGTTTTTATTTTGTGACTGTGTCTTACTAGGTTGCTATGTTGCCTAAGCTGGACTCAAACTTGCAATCCTCCTGCCTCAGCCTCCCAAAGTGCTGGGATTACAGGCATGCACCACCACACCTGGCCTGAAAAGTTTCAAACTTTCAGAAACCCTTTTGCAGGTCAAACAAAAACACTTCTGGGGGCCAGCTCTGATGCTCTGGCTGCCAGTCTTTGACCTCTGGGTGTGGTGGGCAGAGGCCTCACATTCAGGGCTTGGCTCACCTGTCAGCAAAGGTGGAGCTTATGTCCTTGTCACTGGCACTCAATATCTTACCCTGGGTTTCCCACAGTCAACACACACTTGCCTTTTAATTGATGAGTAGTACTGATCCAGGAACTCTTTGGCGAGGGGGAAGAGCTGGTCCTTGGTGCGGACATCTTCGGGCCTTCGTGTGTGCTGAGAGGGCAGCATGACAGAGCCTATGCAGATGTGCTCCGTGCAGCCCGTTTCCTGTGGAGTCAAGAGAGATGTGGGCCTTCACTTTGCCAGGTGTGGGGCCCCAGCCCAGGCTCTTATATTCACAACAAAGTTGGCCTGGCTCTTAATTTCAAGGGATTTCTCAGGGGCCACCTTCAAATCATTGTTGGGCATGGTCATCAGCCAAGGCAAGGAATGGGGAACCATGTTTTAAGGCTCCTAAAATGTTTATTGTTGTCAGTTAGCGGAATGGGAGTGTTCTGCATAGGAATCAGAATCATTGGCACTAAATTCCAGAATATTTTTTGATTCCATGTTGATCAAAAGAAACAACTGAGTGGTTACAGTAACTCCTTTGAACAGAGCTGTGATAACTTGATTACCAAAACTGGCTCCAATTCTTCCCCTCGCTGTATTTTCTTTGTAACGTGACTTTACACTAACTCCCATGGAGAGGTGGAGTCTGTCTTCTCACTCCTTGGATCTGGGGTAGCTTTGGCCCATAGAATATGGCAGAAGTGATCCTGGGCTATGTCCAAGCCTGGGCCTCAAGAGACTTTGCCTTCTTCTGCAAACATAGGTGACAAGCCCAAGCTAACTTGGTGGGAGAGGAGCATGTGCATGGTACACAGTTATGTCAGCCAGTGCCATCCTACACCAGCCTGCTCTGAGCTGTCCCCTTGGGTGACTGCAGGTTCATCAGCTAGCCTCACTGAGATCACCTGTGTCTGGTCCAGATCACCAGAACTACCCTTCTAATTCAGAAATTCATATATATATATATATATATATATATATATATATATATATTTATTTACTTATTGGTACATTTTAGGTATAAAACACATCTACATTTATCATTGGGTGCTTGTACCAGAACATGATGTATCTTAGTTCTTATTTTTTCTCCCATTACCTGTGCACCCTTCACCCTCTCCACCCTTCCCTATTTACAGACTTTGATTCCATGAGAAATTCTTGAAAAAAAATTCATAATTTTTTCCAGCCACTTAATTTTTTGGGCCAGTTTGTTACACAGCAATAGCTGACTAATACAACAATCCTCCATCATGCTCATTTTCAACAAAAACTTAAAGCAATGTGTTGACTATTAAAAATATGATATAGAAATTTATAGGACACACTGAAAAATCAAGGAAAGATTCATTGAATTCTCCATCAGTGGCCAGACTGAGATAAAAAGAGTATTTTCAGAGGTAGCAACTGGCCTTGAATTCTGAAGGGTACAAGGTACTCTGACAAAAAGCATCTGCATAGGTGAGTGAGAATCCATCAGTGGTTCTCCAACAGGGATGAACTTCCTGCTCAGGGGAGGTTAGACAATGTCTAGAAACCTTTCTGTTGCTACACATGGGCTAGGATAGCAACACCTAGGAGGATAGGCCAGGGGTGATGCTAAACATTGTGCAATGCACAGGACAGTTCCCATGACCATGTTGAATCTGGCTCCAAATGTGGACAGGGCTGAGATGGAGCCGCTCTGGTCTATACCCCATTGGTTACTCACCAGTGTGCTTTTAAGGTGGAGGGTGTCTGTGAGAACCACGTCAGTCTCCCAGTTCTTGACCTTGAGGAAGCGGGGGCACTTGGAGGGGCTGCCATTCTTGGTGGGGGACTGTCTGCCTGAGGCAGGGGGCTGGAGGAGAGAATGGAGGTGGAGCATGAAGCAGAGTCTTGAGGCCTCAGGGCCTTTGAACAAACTGTTGTCTTCACCCTAAACGACTTTAGTCATCTATTGTCTTGACCTCTGAAAACAAACTGACCCAGCCAGCAGCTGTGGTGGGGGAGGAATAAGTCTCAGGCTGACCAATGTTGGTCCATACATTTTAGATCTCACTGATAAGGATCACATCTGCCTTGTGTGTTTGCAGATGGCTGTCTTATTTCCCCGGGCAGAGGTGTCCCCATGTGTCAGAAAAGCATCAGTGACCCAGCAGCTATAAGAGAGATACAACAGGCACACCCACTAGGAGGGCCTAGCAAGGGAGGGGAGGTGATAGGCCCAAGTGTTGAGCAATGCTCACACACAGTAGCCAGTGGGCATGATTAAGGAGCTAATTCCAGGATGGAAGTCAAAGAGAACACTGGAGGATAAACACCGAACACTAACCTTCCACAAGCAGTTATTATGTGCCAAGCAATAACCGTATGATTGCTGTTTTACAGATGAGAAAACGGAGGAATGGTGGCTTTATATGAAGAAGAAGAGAGACCCAAGTAGCATGCCTGCTGTGTCCCATCACGGGATGTCCTCTGCCATGTCAGGGTGCAGCAGAGCATCCTCACTAGATGCCAGCGCCACTTTGAGCCAAATAAACCTCTACTCTTCCTAATTACTCTGTCTGTGGCATTCAGTCACCCATGTTAACGCCCTGGAGGCCGAGCCGCAGTGGGAGGCTCAGAGAGGGGACAGCAGCCAGGTGTGAGGAGGACTGGGGTGGGGCTGGTGGGCAGCAGCTGGCAGCCTTTTCTGGCAGGGAGCAGAGGGAGCGAGCCAACAGGCCTAATAAGAGAGGCCATCTGTTGGGGGTTCCAGATGTGCAGGGGGTGGTGGTTAAGAGCTAAGCGCCGTGCCACTCTTCACCAGTGGCTTCATCAGGCTGCGCACTTGAAACCAGGCATTAGGAGGCCGCTGGCAGGGCTGTTGTGCTTGGGCTTTGATGTTTTAATTAGCCAGCAGTAATATTGGGTGACTCCGGAGGGGACAAATGGGGAGATTAATATAGCAGTCAGAGGCCCTGCATGCAGGATACAAATGACTTTTCTAGTGAGGACCCGAGTGCTCCTGCTCAGAATGCAGACTAGCAGCACTTGAGGAGTTCTGATGTTGGGGACAGGGCATGCGTGGGCTTTGGGCTGTGGCTACCTGTGTCCTTTCCTTCCTTCCAGTCTGCGGCAGGACAATGGACACTTTCAAGTGGCAGGAGACACGGCCTTATTTTCCCCAGGGGCCTTTAACTTGGCAAAGCAAGCTGTGAGCTCATGGGGCGGGCGTTTCAAAGGCCCTGCCAACACCTCCTTGCTAAGGAGCCTGCAGAGGCCTCGAGGAAGAGGTCTTGGGACAGGCCTCCAGGAGGCGGCAAGGCTTCACGCACACAATGGCGCTCTGCCCACGGCCCGGGAGCCTCATAGCTGGCTGCCTGCTCCGAAGCAGGAGTCTGCGGATGGCGGCTCATGGGCCTCCCTGGGCCTGCTGCCTGCTCCTGTCCAGCCCCTGAGCAAAGAGTGGTTTTTCTACTTTTAGACTGTTAACTATAAAAATTCAAAGCCAAATAATACTTCGTGACACATGAAAGTTATATGCAGTTCTAATTTCAAGCTCCATAAATAAAGTTTTGTTGGGACCCTGCCACACTCATTTGTTCCTGCATTGTATATAGCTTCTTTTGTACTCTGGTGGCAGAGTGAGGTTGTCATGATGGGAATCAAGACTGGAGACCCACAAAGCTGACAGTATTTCCTGTCTTGTCCTTTACATAACTAGTTTGCAGATGCTGGAGGGAAAGGGCCTAATTCCAGTGGCTGACCACTGAGTGCCACATATCGCTGCTAGAGATTTTCCTGATCCTTTAAAACACCACTCAGCCCTGCCAGGCATGGTGGTGGATGCCTGTAACCCTAGCACTCAGGAAGGAGGCTGGGGCAGGAGGACCACCACAAGTTCAAAGTCAGCTTGAACCGCATAGTGAAACCCTGGCTCGAAAGAACAACACAAAACCCTAAAACACCACCCAGACTTGTAACCCATGCTCTCTGCCACCCTTCCCATGCTTCAGATGTCTTCAGAGCACTTGTCCCTGCTTGCAATAACTGAAAGTTTGTGTGCAAGCAGATATATGCGAATGTGTGTATGCAAGAGCACGTGTGTACGTGTGATAGCATGAGTGATGGCATGTATGTGTGTGTGAGAACATATGTATGCATTGTGAGAGCATGTGTCTGTGTATGCATGTGTGGAACATGTATGAAAGAACGTGTGTGTATGCCACAAGTATGTGCATGTGTGAGAATATGTATATGGCATGTCTGTATCCATATATCTTTATATCTTACCACTTTACCTAGATAGATAGATAGATATTTAGGCAACACAGATGACTCTCAATACCTCCAGGCAGCTGACTGCTTTAAGAAACAACATGACGATGTTCACATCCCTGATATAAAATGGTGTAATATTTGCACAAAACCCCTCCATACCCTCCTGTATGGTTTAAATCACCTCTGGAGGATTTATGATACCTAGCCCAATGGAAATGCCATGTCCATACTTGCTGCACTGTATTATTGAAGGAATAATGACAAGATAAAAAAGGTACAGGCCCATTCAGTCCAGAGGCAATGCTTGTCCCTGCACAGTTCCAATCTGCAGTTGGTTGAATCTGTGTATGCAGAGCCTGGGATGCACAGGCTGACTGTGTTTTTGGAGCACCCACTCTGTCCTCACCCCTGCAACAGTGGCACCTCAACACATGTCCCATGAACAGCTGAGGTCTGAATTAGACTGAACTGAGTCTCACCAAGTTCCCACGTCAAAGCCCTATGCCACAGCATGTCTGTGTAGGTGACAGGGCTTTTGGGAGCGAAATATTATCTCTAAAATATCAGTAGGGTGGTGCCCTCATCTAGTAGTATTAGTGGCCTCTTCCTCTCCTACATGAGGACATAGGAGGAAAGTCGTCTGCAAGCCAGGAAAGAGGGTCCCCCTCAGAATTGGGCTACGCTGGCACCTCGATCTCAGACTTCCAGGCTCCAGAACTGTGAGAACATACATTTCTGCTGTTCCAGCCACCCAGTCTACGTACAATACAAAGTCTAAGTGAATTCTGGAACTGCAGAGCCACTTACACTCAGCAGAGGACTCTGGTCCTACTTTAGTGGAGAACAGAGAAGCCCTTCAGCTGCCCAGCTGAGCGAGCGACCTCACAAAAGCCATGTGTTAGGAGTACGGATGCTCCCTGACCTGCCACGGGGCCACATTCCGCCAGACCAACTGTACATGGAAAACTTCGTAAGTTGAAAATGCATTTAATGTGCTTAACAGCTTAGCAACACAGCACACTGTAGAGTGTTGGCCGTTCCCCTGCTGATTGGGAGGTTGACTGGGAGCTGTGGTTTGCTGGCCCTGGCTAGCGTGGAGAGAGGATCATACTGCACATCCTTGCCCAGGAAAAGATCCAAATTCAGAATTCCAAGTGTGATCTCTGCATATTGCTTTCACATGGCTGTTCAGATGAAAACTCCAAAGTCAAACCACTGCCTACCGGGGATGGTCTGTCTGTGACTTGGGAGGACAGGGTGAAGGGATAGACCCCTGGGAAGAACTGGTTGGAACAATGAAGCAAGTGACCACCAGGGTGAAAAATAGAGCCACGAGGCTGGAAGTGGGAGGCAGAGCCTGGGGTGCAGATCTAGAGAGATTGGAAGAAGAACCAAGAGGTCAGTGCACACTGAGGGCTTCCCAAGAAGAGAAGCTTTTGGGTGGACGGTTGGAAGCAGGGGGAGGGGGAGCTTGAGGCAGGAGGATGAACCTAGCATCGGAACCAGGAAGAAGTAGAAACAAAGGCCAAGCTCCTGGCTCTCCCAACAACCAGCAGTCAGGGCCCCAGGGAAACTAGCTCTGAGAGCCATGGCAAGAGAGGGGAGCACTTGCAAGACCCAGAACATCTTTGAGCTGTTACAGGTTAAACTGTGTACCCCCCTCCGGCCCTAATTCAAATATGGACAACCTCAAGCTGAATACCTCTGAGTGTGTTCTTATTTGGAGATAAGATCTTTATAGAGGTAATCACGTTAAGATGAAGACATTAGGGTGGTGTTTGATCCAATACAGCTAGTATACTTAGAGAAAAGGGAAATTTGGGCTGGCCATGGTGGCACATGCCTATAATCTCAATCCTCAGGGAGGCTGAGGCAGGAAGATTGCAAGTTCAAGCCCAACCTGGACAACTCAGTGCAAACCTACCAATCAATCAATCAATCAATGGGCTGGGGATATGGCTCAGTGCAAAAGCCCAAGCACCAAAAACTTTTTCTAAAAAAGAGAAATTTAGAGAGAGCCACAGCCACAAGAATGGCCTATGATCACAAAGATGGCCATTTATCAGCCAAGGAGAGTGGCCTGGCACACATTCCTCCTCGCAGCCCCGGTAACACCTTGACTTTGACCACCTGGCCTCCATTCCTCAGAGACAGTAAATTTTGTCTTGTGAGCCACTCCGTTGGTGATGCTGAGTTGCAGCAGCCCAACAAACGAATCCAGGCATTCAGGCTTCAACCTGTACAAAGCCAGCAGCCTCTGATTCTTGTTCTGTTGGCACAGCCGCAGCCATTCCATTAGGAGGCTGTGGCAGCCTGCCCTACCTGGCTTGTCCTGAAATGAGGGCAGCGCTGGGGCTGAGCTGGGCAGCCAGCCATCCACACCAGGGGCCAGACACCACATGCTGCGTCCTTCCTGCAGCCCCAGGGAACACAACTCCAACCTGTGGGGACCACCACTCAGGGCAGCAAGTGTGATCTGGTTATAGGCTGTGGCAGCTCAGGGTTCAGGACCACAGAGCTGCAAAGCAGCGGGTCCTGCCCATCCGTGCAATTAAACAATTGCTGCTTAGAGAACTTAACCGATTGTGTTTCATA